ATGGGCTGAGCTAGGTGTTGGCAACCATGGAACCACGTGAGAGCTGTGTGTAGGCGAGGCTGCAACACCCAAGAGTAAGAACTGGAATGGGCGTGGGCCAGTTGGCTACTGTCCTGCCAGGACAGGAGGTAGACTAAGTCAGTCTGGGCCAAGGACCCCCTAGTGTGTGTGAGATCTGCGACTGGAAAGAGACCTGGTAAAGGGAACTTCTCTGTCAGCATGCAGTCCCTGCAGGTGAGCACAAGAACCAAGGCAGGGAGCAGCCATACTAGGCCAGGTTACAGTACCTACAATACCCACAGGAATACATATGGCTCAGGTCTGGGGGCAGGCCAGATTGGGTCAGTTCCTAACATCCACTGGCAGATCTGAGCACCAGGATGGGGTGCAGGACAGGCTGGGTTGCGTAACACCAGCCAGTTCACATTAGAGCTAGAATTTAGGGGCTGACTGGGCTAGGCTGCATGAGCTGGAACAAGGGGCAAACCAGGCTGGGTCAGGCTACAGTACCTGTTGCCAATGCCAAGGTGAGGCGGGCCATGCCAGATTGGGTCACAACTCCTGCCAGCTCATGTGAGACCCGAGAAGAAGGGTGCGAGCTCAGGAAGGGGTCAGCATGGGCTCTCCCACTGGGCCACTGTGAGAACTGGGACCAGGAGAATATGAGGCCAGGAAGGGCTACACCTGTTGTCCTGCTTGTGAGCTGCTTTAGGGGGAGAGCCAGGCTGGGCTAACTGTATTCACTGGTACATACATGAGCCAGGGAAAGTGCTTGCTGGTCGGCCTTTGCTGCAGCATCAGCTGGCAGGTGCTGGGACTAAGGGCAAATCCTGTCAAGTTAGACTGCAGAACCACCTGGGCAGTACAAGATCTCGGAGTGGACCTTGTAGGGAAACTATGGCACCTCTCTGATGGGCTGCAGCTCCCACCAGTGAGCATGAGAACCAGGGCTGGGGGCAGGCCTGGCTAGAGAGGCAGGGACACCTGCTGGCCTGAGTATGGGCTGGATACTGGGGTCAGTTTGATTGAACTATGCCCAATGCCCATCGATGTGTGTGAGAGCTGAATGGGATGTGGGACAGACTGGGACCAGTCTGCTGCACATACTGGTAAGCATGGAAACCAGGGCTGGGAGCGTGCCTAGTGGGGATTATTGGGAGTCGTTCTGGCTCAGGTGCAGTTTCCACTGGTGTACATGAGGGCCAAGTGTGTAGTGGGCTGGGTTGGTCTGAGCCACAGCACCTCTTGATTTGTATGAGATGGGACTAGGGACAGAACTGACCCAGCAACTGCAACCTCCCCTGTTTGTGTAGGCTGATGTGGGTGACAGACTGAGCTGGACCCCATGCTGGCAAGCACACATAAGGGTCAGGTTTGGGGCTACCGCATATGAGGTCTTTTAGGGGATACCTCCAACTGAACTGCTGGATTCAGAATCCCAACCATGGGAAAAATTTCAGGATTGAAGGACTGACCATACAGTGTAGTTATCAGAACTGGGCCTCCTCAGTGGCTAAGACGGAGCAGTGGGTGGCATGCCCACATGCACATGGAGGATATGACAGGCTGCAGAGAGCATCTGGTACCATAACAGAGGTACAAATTGGACAACTCCCCCAGCCAAGTGTTGACAGCAAATATCTGGACAAACGGTGTCTCTAAGATGGACTATGTCAGCCAATGGACCTTGAAAGGATTGCCTCATCCTTGGATCGGGCAGGTCGACAGCATTTCAGAGCTATCGAAACCACTTGAGCAGAACCCTCAGAACATCCTCCACACGGGGGCCCCTGGGATGACACTGGTGGCTGTTCCTTCTCCCCAGGTACTGAGATGGTTGGGAGGCTGGGTAAGACTTCTCTCCTTCTCTCCTCCTCCCCACCACCGCCCCAGATACAGGAGGAAGAAAAAAATTGGAAACAATGGTCTCACCCACTTTCCCCTAATCCTTGACCCTTCCCACCATGATCAACTACATAAAGTGGAAAAAAAAATAGAATGCTAACCTCTGGGGGAAAATATGGATTGGAAGTTACACTGTACACGTAGTGCTGTGCCCAGATTTTGAGATCCCCCGAAACCAGCAGGAGTCTGAAGTCGATCCAAGTGCTTGGCTTATTCAAGCTTAGCACATCCGAGTCTGGGTTCTTGGTTGAGACCAGGCAGCTGGCTGACCAGCACCCCTTACCAGAGTGTGGCCCCAAACTGCACATTCATAGGGTTTTTATAGGGGCAGTCCACAATAGCTTGAAAAGGGGGCAATTCACAATAGCCTGCAAGGTGAGGGGAAATACCATGCATTCCCTGCCTATCAGCTGGACAGCCCATGCCTGCAGCAGCTAAGGGAAGCACCCACTTAACTACTCAGAGCCACCTGTGAGATAACTAGATGTAGTTGGGCCTTGATTCATGAGAATTGGGGCTTATCAGTGCTGAAGGTCACATAGGCCATTTGGCCTGCAAGCTCACACATTTTCTTAGAAGCAATGAGCCATAAAGAAATGGTTGGGATTTTGATACTGAGGTTCTTCAGTAGGCCTCAGAATTCAGGACAAGCAGATGACTGGGACCTTAAAGGAAACTTTGAAAAATGAAAGACTGGCAAAAATGTGGCGAACCTCCTTCCCTTTTTCCTCCTGTGAGTCCTTGTTCGCCTTATGCACAAGGCTTCGGCCCATTCAGGAGACCACCCCTTTCAGTCTCCAAGGAGGGGATGAAAGATTGGCTGAGTTAAATAATGATTTCATCCTTAAGTCATTACAGGCTCTACAGATTGTCCTGCGGCACATTCCCAGTCTGGTGAAGGCAGTGCACCCAGGCCGGGCAAACTCCGCATCTCACTGATTCCGGTTAACTCCAGCCTGGGGACTTGACGTGGATTAAGAAGCATCAGCCTGGACCCACGTGGTAGCCTAGCGGCTAAAGTCCCCTCTTTAAATGCGTAGGATCCCATATGGGCACTGGTTCTAATCCTGGCAGCCCTGCTTCCCATCCAGCTCCCTGCATGTGGCCTGGGAAAGCAGTCAAGGACGGCCCAAAGCCTTGGGATCCTGCACCCATGTGGGAGACCTGGAAGAAGTTCCTGGTTCCTGGTTTCAGATTGGCTCAGTTCTGGCTGTTTGGCTGTTGGGGAGTGAATCATCAGACAAAAGACCTTCCTCTCTGTCTCTCCATATATATATGTATATATGTATATATATATATATATATATATAAAACACTTTCTAATAAAAATAAATAAGTCTTTAGAAAAAAAAAGAAATCAGCCTTCCAGCCTGGAGCCACATTGGAACAGACCTGCCTGTAACTCTGACCACTACAGCTGTGTAAAGTTGCAGGTAAGCGCCACTGGATGCCCACATGCAGCTCCCCACATGTGATGCTGGAAAAGTGGACTGGAAGGGCTATGCGGACCACCCAAGATAAGCTTTCTCACAAAGCTTAATCCCTGTAATTCTAACAGTTTGCAGGACAAATGGGGGTGGGCTTGGTTTCATGCACTGTAGGAATTACTCCTTCCAGCTCAAAAGTAGGACGCTGGAACAGCTGTGTGGGGTTGAGCTCTTGTCTGTACAATACCCGGGTTTATTAATATTCAGCCGAAGGGGGTGTTAACTCGTTGGGAGCAGTGAGCCCTCATCCTTAGTCCGACCTTGGGAAGACGGGGTGAAGAGCAGGCTCCACACTGCTGGGGCCTCAGCTCTGCTCACGGAACACCAGAACTTTAAGACTTTGAGCAAACAAACTGACCCAGCTCTTTCCGAACTAGAGTCTTCAGTGCTGGATCTGGAGTTCTCTCTAAATCCCTTAGCTAAAGCAATCTGCCCACACAGTACTGTGTGTGGCTCTAGGGGAAAAAATGTTACTTCTATGCCGGTCAGAAACCATCTTAAAACAATCAGCACGTAAGTCTTGGTCACCCTGGCTGGCCCTCTATTCCTAATGTTTCCAGGGCTACTTGTGGGACTCTGTTATCAACTGTTTAGACACATAACTGACCGTGTCTAGGCAGTAAAACTCATGGCTCCCAGGCCCCACTATCAACACATTAACAGTCAGGGCAGCAAGCCCATGATTTGACTCCCCGAGAAAAACCAGTGGGGAAAGTGACAGGGTGAAATACCGTGGAGTGTATCCCGGTCACTGGTGGGGTTGGACACCCTGCTCCCCAGAAGGAACCAGGTCCTGGGAGCTGACCCGGGAGAAATGGAACCAGTTTGCACAGAGCTGAACTGTGACTGTCCCTATGGAATTGCCCATTTTGGCTCTAACCTGCTCAGTGCAGCTGCTGTACCCTTGCTTGCTTGCTTGCCAGCGGAAAGGCCCAGATGTGGGTTTGTCTTTTTTGCTTAAAAGCTCACTAGAGCGACAGCTCAGGGCTGTCTCCCGCAGACCTGCTCTAAATGGAAGCAGTTGCCGGCTGGCTAATAAAGACTCCCCAAATTCTAAATTGGCTTTGGTGGTCTTTTATTCCATGCACCCTACAATACCTTTATCCAGTTCAATGTCACGCACGCCTGTACCAGGGGCTGGCTTAGCACGACGGGGAGAAGCTGTCTGGGAACCCACAGCCTCACAGCAGATACAGCCTGAGCACTTCGGAGCCACTGGTGAGGCAGGCGGCCACAGCCCTGACGCGGTGGGTGCCCGCGTGGCCCCGTAGGTGCCCCTGTGCCCCAGCCCTGTATGCAGACGCCCCACACCCGATGCTCCCAGAAGCACCTGGAGGTTGAGGTGGGGATGGGTTGGAGTGCTGGTGCAGGTCAGGTCCCACCGCCCGGCTGTCCACCACGACCCTGCCCGCCACGGGAGGCACTTCCTCGGCCCCACCGTCCACCCGGCCTTCCTGGGCAGGTGCCTCCCCGGCTCCTGCGGGCTCCGCCCCCTCCGCACACCTTGTCGCCGCCCGGGAGGAGGGGCGGGGCGGGGCGAGCCCCACGCGGAAGTCCGCGGCCGCACCTGGCGCGCACTCCGACCCGCAGACCCTGGCAGCCGCCAGCATGCAGGTGAGTCGGGCGCCCAGGGCCCGCACCTGCGGCTTCCCGCCTGCCGGGGCTCCCGGCAGGGCGGGTGCTGTGTGGGCGTCCACCCCAGCAGCTCCCTTCCGATGCCATGGGCACCTGGCCTGAGCGGCTGCGCGTGGTACCCCACACATCCCGGCTGGCACCGGGTCGGGGAGTGGCCGGCGTAAGGGTGGGGTCGCGTGTCCCCTGTTCCCCAGACCTAGGGGGGACCTGCTGGGGCTTTGGGGAGCAGGATAGGGTCCCAGAGGGAGGCTCTGCCTCTCCCGCCTAGAAAAAGCCCCCAGTCCTGGGCCAGGACCAAAACTGCCTCCCACTGGGCTCCCAGGGCCGCAGGTGGAGCTGAACTCTGCCCCTCCAGACTCCGCCCGGGCCCTCCGACTGCTCCAACCAGCACCCGGATGCCTAGCCTGGATCTGTGGTGTCAGGCGGGCGGAGGACTCGGCTGCTGCAACATGGAGGCCTGAGCCCCCATGCCTGACCTGCGTCTAGACAGCCCCATGCCCACAAGCACTCCACTGTGGCCACAAGGGTTGGGGGACAGGCCAAAGTGCAGAGGGTGGGCGGTGCACGGAGGGGTTTGTTGGGGTACTCAGGTGTGGCAAGGTGGCTCCTTGGAAGAGAAGGGGTGGGAGGGGGCTGTTCCCCTGGGCACTGAGCCCCACAGGCGCCAGGGCTCAGCTGTCCTCCTCCTCCTTCCCTGCACATTGTCAGCTGTGTGACACCCCAAGTCCAGACGGCCGTGGGAGGAAGATAGGAAGGGCAGGGCCCAGCCAGAGCCACCTGCCCCACCTGTGAGCAAGGGGCTGGGAGGGCATAGTGGCCCCTGCCCTGGGTGTCCTGTCTGGGCCCCACTGGTGAGGATCCCTGTAGGCTGGCTGCCCTGGGCACCAGTGGGATGTGGGGCTGTCAGCATTGGGCCTGGGGCACAGCAGGCAGGTTGATGGTGTGACTTGGAGCCTGAGGGGGCGGGGCTGCAACGTGGCTATCTTGCAGAGCAGAGCCCCGTGTGTGTTGCTTTACTGGGTCAGTCCCCCAACCCCAGTGACCAGTGGTCAGTCATGTGGGGTGACTGTGGGTGACCCCAGATCCTCAGCTTCTGGGTGTCTTGTTAGGAGAGGCTGGGATCTCCACGTGCCCCTCCCTGCCTGTGCTGGGGGATAGGGAGTGTGGCTCCATCATGTGTCCCATGGGAGACTCCAAGGTGGGCACGCCCAGGGCTGCTGGGGCGTCACCCCGGACCTGAGCCATCTGTCTCGGGAGCAGTGGTACCTGCCCCGCCCTGTGTGTCATGTGAGCAGTGCCCCGAGCCAGGGAGAAGTTTCAGGTACCAGGGCCACACCCAAGTGAGGTGTCTGTCCCTGGGCAGTCAGGGGCAGTGGGGTGCGGAGCATGAGCACTGGGGAGGCAGCTCGGCCAGGACTGGCCAGCCCTGGACTACCCAAGGGTGGGGTTGGAGCAGGGAGCAGTTGGCACCTGGTGCAGGGGGATCCCAGGTAAACAAAACAAGCTCAGCATGAATGGGTGCCCAGCAGTCACCTCCTTTATCTGCCATCAGAATGTGGGCCTGGCTGGGGCAGTCAGGGGAGGCTTCCCGGAGGAGGAAGCAGGAATGCTGCCTGGGAAGGGGAGTGAGCGCACAGAGGATCTCTCTGTCTCTCTCCATCTCTCTGTCTCTCTCCATCTCTCTGTCTCTCTCCATCTCTCCATCTCTCCATCTCTCTGTCTCCATCTCTCCTTCTCTCTCCATCTCTCTGTCTCTCTCCATCTCTCTGTCTCCATCTCTCCTTCTCTCTCCATCTCTCTGTCTCTCTCCATCTCTCTGTCTCTCTCCATCTCTCTGTCTCCATCTCTCCTTCTCTCTCCATCTCTCTGTCTCCATCTCTCCTTCTCTCTCCATCTCTCTGTCTCTCTCCATCTCTCTGTCTCTCTCCATCTCTCTGTCTCCATCTCTCCTTCTCTCTCCATCTCTCTGTCTCTCTCCATCTTTCTCCATCTCTCCTTCTCTCTCCATCTCTCTGTCTCTCTCCTTCTCTCTCCTTCTCTCTGTCTCCATCTCTCCTTCTCTCTCCATCTCTCTGTCTCTCTGTGTCTCCATCTCTCTTCCCATCACTTTGCTTTTCACATACACACATCTTCAGAAAAGCAAGCCAGAGTTCTGCCCTCTGGTGCCACCTTCACCTGCGACCCTGTGGGTCCTGCCCTGACCACTCCCTGCCTACAGCCCCTCGCCGCCCAGAAGGGCACCGGTGAGGATGCCTACACGGGTCTCTCTGGATCTGGGGAGCTATGTCACCCCAGCCCCATGTCTTTGCCGCTGTCACATCAGGCATGTGGCTGGAGCCCCCAGTCCCCTCACTGTACCCCTGGTCACTGTGGCCCCAGGGGTCTAGGAGTGTCCAGTACCTGAGGCGGCCGCTCCAGTCCGGCAGCTGTGCCTTCAGCTATGATGTGTGCAGCTTCTCCAGGGTGTCCAGTTCTGGAGCTCTCAGGTGTTCCCCAACTGCCCACTCCACGGCCCTGTAGGAGACATGTGTATGGGAGGTTCTCACCCCACAGCCAGCATGTTGGGGGCTCTGGGTGGCAAGGCACAGGCCCGCAGCATCTCCCCTCCTCCCTGTTTTGTGCCCCCAGGAGGAGGAGGAGATCCTGGCGGGGACAGAAGGGGACAGCTTCCCCCTGATGGACATGTACAAGCAGGAGGTGAGTCTGCGGGTACCCCCACTTCACCCCAGCCTCACCATGCCTGAGTCTCACCCCAGCCTCAGACCTGCCTCCCGCAGACCCCCGATCCCGAAGCGTGGGACTTTGTCTTGGTGGCCTCCCAGAGCACCCAGAGCAACCGTGAACAGATGGCGCGGCAGCAGCGCTTCCTGGATGAGTTGAGAAGGAAGGGCTTCCGGGTTAAGGTGGGCTGGCACCAGGCACTGGGCGCAAGTCGGGGCGAACGGGGGGGTAGGGTGTGGCCAGCGCCAAGACCCGTGGCTTCACTCCCAGGTGCTGGAGACCAGCAGCCAGATGTTCTTTGGAATTGGCACCAACAGCAGGGTCTTGGACCTGTACCATGCCCTCCTTCTGGAGCCCAAAGGCTCCTTCCCCAGCCCCAGCAAGGACCCCAACTTAGCCGCCACAAGGTGAGAGGGATAGGCTGGTGACCCTGAGCCCCCATAATGCCCTGTCCAGGCAGCGTATGGTACATCCGGGTGGCCATGGCCTGGTGGGTCAAGCCGGCACTTACAGGGTTGGGCAGAACTCACATAGGCCACTGGTGGGCCCTGGACAGCTACCCTGGACTTTGGTCCCCAAGAAGCCGCTTCTCCAACAGGTGCGCCATCCCAACCTCCTGACTGGCCCCTTCAAGCCCCTCCGCCCTGGGCTGGGGCTGGCTGGAGGGCCCTGGTAAAGGACTCTGAGTCTGGCCCGAGGCCTTGGAGGCCACCTCTGGATGCGGAGTGGCCACTCCAGGACTGGCTGTGCTTTGAGGGCTGGGCTGTCCACTTCCTGGCCCTGAGGCTATGGGGGCCCCATGCTGATAGGAAGCTGAGCTGGGTGTGGGGTCAGGTGTGGGGTCCAAGGGTCAGGTGCAGGAACAGGTGTGGGGTCCAGGGGTCAGGTATGGGATAGGTGTGGGGTCCAAGGGTCAAGTGTGGGGTTAAGTGTGGTGTTCAGGGGTTAGGTTGGGCTTAGATGTGCCCTGGAATGTGGAGTCTCTGGGGAGGCTGGGGGCACAGTGTATGGGAAGGGAGCCCCCAGCTAGGGCCTCACCCTGGATGGCGTGGGCAGGCCTGAGTGAGAGGACTAGGGTGGTGGGCTCTGTCAGGTCAGTGAGTACTGGGCCTGGGCCTGGCCATGCCTGAGGGGTCAGTCCCTGCAGGGCCAGGGTGACGTGACCCTACACGTGGGTTTCAGAATCCGAATCATCAACTTCATCCTGAACAAAAAGACAGAAACTGGAGGTGAGCTGTGACTGGTGGGTGACGTACGGATCACTGGGCTGTGTGATGGGCAGGGGTCCTGGGGTGTTTGTGATGGAGGAGTCCCTGGGTGTTTGTGATGGGCAGGTCCCTGGGCAGTGTAATGGAGGGTTCCTGGGCTGTGTGATGGGCAGGGTTCCTGGATGGTGTAATGGAGGGGTTCCTGGGTGTGTGATGGATAGGGTCTCTGTGGTGTGTGATTGGTTGTGTCCCTGGAATTGTAATGGGTTTCTAAGTGTGTGTGTGTGATGCAGGTGGTCCTATCCCCTGACCCTTGCCACCTCTGATCCCAGACACCTTTGATGATATGATGAAGGACGGGGTCTTTGAGGCCAAGTTCCCCCTGCATAAGGTGAGCCCTGAGCCTGCTGGGAATGCCAGGGATGGGACCCCGGGGTAGGGATCTCACTGTTGCTTGCCCCAGGGGGAGGAATACCTGAAGAGCAAATGGGCCCGGTGGAGAGACATTTTCCAGAATCAACCGATTGACAAGATCAGGTAACTTCTCCAAAGGCAATAGCCTCGGCAGCAGACACAGCAGTACCCACAGACACACCTGTACACATGGACATCCTTGTACACAGACACACCTGTACACATGGACATACCTGTGTCCACAAATACACAGTACCCACAGACACACCTGTGCCCACAGACACACCTGTACACACAGACACCTGTGCTTACACACACACCTGTACCTCCATAGGCACCCCTTGAACCCACAGACATTCCTGAGTCCCATGCACCTGTGTGACCACTCCCCAGGAGGCACTGGTGCTGCTGGTGTACCTGTTCTCTCACTGGACAGCTCTAATGGGGACTGTGTCATAGGGACTACTTTGGCGAGAAGGTGGCACTGTACTTTGCCTGGCTAGGCTGGTACACCTACATGCTGGTGCCTGCCGCCCTGGTGGGCCTTATCATCTTCTTCAGTGGATTCGCCCTGTTTGATGCCAGTCAGATCAGGTGGGTCTGGGTGAGGGGGGAATCCTGGGATACGGTGGGGGTTCCAGCAGGTGCTCGGGGTCCCTGGCCTGGTGAGAGATGGCACAGCACCTGTGCACCTCCAGCAAGGAGATCTGCAATGCCACCGATGTCTTCATGTGTCCCCACGGGGAGCGCCAGCACACCTACCGGCCACTCTCTGACACCTGCACCTTCGCCAAGGTTCATCCCCGGGGTGGGGGCTGGGGGCTAGGGGCAGGGGGTTCCCCCTTTCCCAGGATCTGGACACCAGCCCTGCTTCCTCTCCAGCTCACCCACCTTTTCGACAACGAGGGCACTGTGTTGTTCGCCATATTCATGGCGTTGTGGGGTAAGTCACTGCTGGGCAGGAACACGAGTGCTTAGCTCATCCCTTGGGATATTCTATGACTTGTCGCGCTCTACCACAGCCACCGTGTTCCTGGAGCTCTGGAAGAGACAGCGGGCACAGGTGGTCCTGCACTGGGATCTATATGGCTGGGACGAGGATCAGGTGAGGAAGAGGGAAGAGAGGAACCCACTAGTGCTAAGAATCAGGAGAATTTCCCATGACTAATGAGTGTGTGCCGTGTCTGAGGCCTGTGTCCTGTGTGTGTGAGGAGTGTGTCCTGTGTGTGTGAGGAGTGTGTCCTGTGTGTGTGAGGAGTGTGCCCTGTGTGTGTCTGAGGCCTGTGTCCTGTGTGTGAGGAGTGTGTCCTGTGTGTGTGAGGAGTGTGCCCTGTGTGTGTGAGGAGTGTGTCCTGTGTGTGTGAGGAGTGTGTCCTGTGTGTGTGAGGAGTGTGTCCTGTGTGTGACGGGTGTGCCCTGTGTGTGTGAGGAGTGTGTCCTGTGTGTGTGAGGAGTGTGCCCTGTGTGTGTGAGGAGTGTGTGTCCTGTGTGTGTGAGAAGTGTGTCCTGTGTGTGTGAGGAGTGTGCCCTGTGTGTCTGAAGCCTGTGTCTGTGTGTGTGTGAGGAGTGTGTCCTGTGTGTGTCTGAGGAGTGTGCCCTGTGTGTGTGAGGAGTGTGCCCTGTGTGTGAGGCCTGTGTCCTGTGTGTGTGAGGAGTGTGTCCTGTGTGTGTGAGGAGTGTGTCCTGTGTCTGAGGCCTGTGTCTGTGTGTGTGTGAGGAGTGTGTCCTGTGTGTGAGGAGTGTGCCCTGTGTGTGTCTGAGGAGTGTGCCCTGTGTGTGTGAGGAGTGTGTCCTGTGTGTGTGAGGAGTGTGTCCTGTGTGTCTGAGGAGTGTGTCCTGTGTGTGTGAGGAGTGTGTCCCGTGTGTGTGAGGAGTGTGTCCTGTGTTTGAGGAGTGTGTCCTGTGTGTGTCTGAGGAGTGTGCCCTGTGTGTGAGGCCTGTGTCCTGTGTGTGTGAGGAGTGTGTCCTGTGTGTGTGAGGAGTGTGTCCTGTGTGTGAGGAGTGTGCCCTGTGTATGTGACAGGTGTGTCCTGTGTGTGTGAGGAGTGTGCCCTGTGTGTGAGGAGTGTGTCCTGTGTGTCTGAGGAGTGTGCCCTGTGTGTGTGAGGAGTGTGCCCTGTGTGTGTGTGAGGAGTGTGCCCTGTGTGTGTGAGGAGTGTGCCCTGTGTGTGTGAGGAGTGTGCCCTGTGTGTGTGAGGAGTGTGTCCTGTGTGTGTGAGGAGTGTGCCCTGTGTGTGTGAGGAGTGTGTCCTGTGTGTGTGTGAGGAGTGTGTCCTGTGTGTGTGTGAGGAGTGTGCCCTGTGTGTGTGAGGAGTGTGTCCTGTGTGTGTGAGGAGTGTGCCCTGTGTGTGTGAGGAGTGTGCCCTGTGTGTGTGAGGAGTGTGCCCTGTGTGTGTGAGGAGTGTGCCCTGTGTGTGTGTGAGGAGTGTGCCCTGTGTGTGTGAGGAGTGTGTCCTGTGTGTGTGAGGAGTGTGTCCTGTGTGTGTGTGAGGAGTGTGCCCTGTGTGTGTGAGGAGTGTGCCCTGTGTGTGTGAGGAGTGTGCCCTGTGTGTGTGAGGAGTGTGTCCTGTGTGTGTGAGGAGTGTGTCCTGTGTGTGTGTGAGGAGTGTGCCCTGTGTGTGTGAGGAGTGTGCCCTGTGTGTGTGAGGAGTGTGTCCTGTGTGTGTGAGGAGTGTGTCCTGTGTGTGTGTGAGGAGTGTGCCCTGTGTGTGTGAGGAGTGTGCCCTGTGTGTGTGAGGAGTGTGCCCTGTGTGTGTGAGGAGTGTGTCCTGTGTGTGTGAGGAGTGTGTCCTGTGTGTGTGAGGAGTGTGCCCTGTGTGTGAGGAGTGTGTCCTGTGTGTGTGAGGAGTGTATCCTGTGTGTGAGGAGTGTGTCCTGTGTGTGTGTCAGGAGTGTGTCCTGTGTGTGAGGAGTGTGTCCTGTGTGTGTGAGGAGTGTGCCCTGTGTGTGTGAGGAGTGTGTCCTGTGTGTGTGAGGAGTGTGCCCTGTGTGTGTGAGGAGTGTGCCCTGTGTCTGAGGCCTGTGTCCTGTCTGAAGTTGCCTCTGACCTCCTCAGGAGGAAATGGCGCTGCAGCTCATCAACTCTCCTGAGTACCAGCCGCGACGCCACCAGCACTCGTACGTGCGCAGCACGATCATCCTCGTCGTGTCCCTGCTCATGGTACTCCCTGGGGAACGAGGCCAAGCCCTGGGCGGGGGCGCCTGTCCACTCTCCCCGCCCAGCTGCTGACCCCCACAGATCTGCCTGCTGATCGGCATGGCCCACGTGCTGGTGGTCTACCGCGTGGTGGCTGGCCCCCTCTTCAGCAGCTGGACCTCCGGCATCCTGAGGGAGGAGTATGTGACCACAGCCGTGGTGGTGACGGGGGCCGTGGTGCACTACGTCATCATTGTCGTCCTGACTAAGGTGGGTTGAGGAGCAGGGCCGAGGGCGGGCCGGGCCGCGAGGCCCCGGTGACTCCTCACGGTGACACTCCTGCAGGTCAACAAGTATGTGGCACTGAAGCTCTGCGACTTCGGTGAGAGCATTCGGGTGGGGTCTTGGAGCTGAGCCGAGGCCTGGGGAGGGGGCCTTCCCACGGTGCAGGGTTGGCAGGGATGGGTGAGGGACAGGGGAGGCCCAGCCACATGTCCTTGCAGAGAAGCCCAGGACCTTCTCAGAGAGAGAGAGAAAGTTCACCATTAAGTTCTTCATGCTGCAGTTCTTCACCCACTTCTCCTCCTTGATCTACATCGCCTTCATCCTGGGCAGGTAGGCCCTCTCCCAGCCACGTGGTCAGTGTGGGCCTTGGCCCAGGCCTGCTCTGGGTCTTTGCCCGTCAGTTCTCCCAGAGAGGGGCTCCGGAGGCCTCTCAGCCAGACTGTCCGCACAGCAAGTCCGTGGCTCTGTCTTCTCCAGGACCCTCCCCCAGACGATGCCTGGCCACGTGTCAGCCCCCGGGGGGAGTGCAGAAGTGGACACAGCAAGGGCAACCTGTGGCCCTGTGAGTCCACTCCCATGGCTTTAACTAAAGCACCTAAGAGGCCTCGGGCAAAGGGCTCACTCCAGCTCAGAGCTGGGTGGTCAGTGGCCACTGGACGTGGCAGATACAGGGAGAATCCAAGCACCTGAGCCAAGCTGACACCTCCAAGCTGTCCAGGGCCCTTGTCTTAGATATGCCCCCACTGATCCCCACCGACCCCCACTCACTCCCATCCACCTTGGCCCTCCCAGCACTGTAACCAGCTCAGGTCTCCCCTACTCATCCATCAGCCCTCACCACTGAATGTAAGCGTCTGTGTGAATTCTGGGGAGGCATTCCTGCTTACCCCACAGGGCTGCTGCCTGCTTCCATATGCCCAGTCAGGGCTCCAATGGGAGCCTGTCAGATCCTACACAGCATTGGTTCCACCCGCTGCAACTCCCAAGGCTTAATTATTTTTACTTGAAAGGCAGAGTTACACACACATACATACAATCTACCTGCTGGTTCACGCTCTTAATGACTGAAGTGGGTGGGGCAGGACCAGGTGAAGTCAGGACCTTCCTCCATATCTGCCACATGGGGGCAGGGTCCCAAAGATTTCGTCCAACCTCCGCTGCTTTTCCAGGTGTATTAGCAGGGAGCTGGATGGGAAGGATGGGAAGTGGAGCAGCTAGGACTGGAACTGGTGCCCAATAGGATGCTGGTGCCTCAGGCAGAGGCTTAGCTTGCTACCCAACAGCGCTGGCCCCACCCCCAAATCTTAGCTGAGTCCAGCATTGATTTAAAACTCCAAGGTCCAGAGTCTGATCTGATACTCAAGGCAAACTCTTGGCCAAGAGCCCAAATAGACAAAAACAGATTGCACTAAATGGATCGGTGAGGCAGACAAGCGTCAGGTGGGTGAGAGATGGGGAGGTGGACTGGCTTCACGGGGTGGGCAGACTTGTCCAAAGGCCCACAACCTTCCCCTGTCCTGGGGGCTGGCTACGCCAGGCCTCTCGGCTCTGCCAGCCCTGCCCCTTGTGGTGACTCTCCCCCTGGAATCACCCTAACTGGGTCAAAAGACCCCTAGAATCTAGGGGTGACCCAGCACTCTCTCCCGCCATGTCAGTTTTTGCTGGCCTGGCTGGACAGCTGACAGCCCTTGCCAGCACCATCTCCTACGGCTGATGCCCCTGCTGCCTGGGCCAGTGGCTCTCCTTGGCCTGGCCCCCACCTTCTCCTTTGAAACAGAAGGGGCCAGGGTTGGCACATCTAGTCCATCTATGCAGGGCAAGCAGGGAGACCAGCAGTCTTTTATCCTACCTTCGTCCCCTGACCAGACTTTCGCCTGTGGCCTGAACCTGTGTATGCTGCCCTTGCCCGCAGCCCGACCCAGTGATGGCTGCCCTTTGCCCACATCCTGACCCCTGCCGGCTGCCTCTCACCCACTCATTGCTGCTCCAGGCATGTGGCTCTCTACCACCCTCCTCTGGCCAGGCCGTGCTGTGGCTTCCTCTAGCCACGCCCCTACTCTCTGGGTAAGGAACCTAGCACAGCCCAGGCCCTCACCCCGAGCAGCAAACATGGCCTCCTGGCCAGTTCCCTGGTTCCCTGGCCTCCTGGTCTTGCCAGGAGCCTCGCTGGCCAGGCCTGTTCTGCCCACATGCCCAACCTGTATCTTACCACACGTTCAAGGTGCCCTCCAGCCTGCTGCCTGCGCCCATCTGAGGTGTGGCTTGCAGCAGGAACCCTCTCCTGCCCTTACTTCCTGTGTCGCTCAGTTGCCATGCACAGGAGCGGTCATGAGAGCAGGGGAGGGTTTGTCAGCTTCCAGTGGGGAGGCATCAGGTCATGGAGGCAGCTCTGGCATCCAAGGATGAGCTGGGGGGCAGAGCTTCCACTTGGAGTAACCCAGACTGTCCCTAGGACCAACACACCTTGCAAGCTAAGCTTCCCTCCAGACACCCTCCCACCACAGCTGCCCCTCAGCGTGTCATGGGGAGACAGGCCCTGGGTCAGAAACTGAATCCTATGGAGCTGGGGGTGCTGGTAGGGTAGAGTGCTGCCCGCCCCTGTGCCCTCTGTGTAAAGCTAGCCTCATGCAGCGCTTCAGGATGGTGACCCCGGGGTAGCCCAGCGGGTCAGTCTGTGACCACAGGCTCTCTCATACTCATACTTTGCATCCGGGCTGCTTCCTGGGTGCCTGGCTGCTTCCTGGGTGCCTGGCACTTCGTCCTTGCTGGGTTGGGTGGCTTGCCTGTCCCCACCTTTGCCAGGCCCGTGCAGTCTCTCCATGGTGCCCTCTCAGGAGGAGTCCCCAAGCCTTCTTTGCGCCTGGGTTTCCTCGTGTACCTGAGCAAATACGCTGGGGAACGAGTTTTCTGAGTTCTTGCATGATTACCACGTGTTGGCTCTGCTGTCCCACAGGCTGGCATGCATGGCATGCCTCAGTTCACATTGCCTTCTTGGAAGTCACTCCTGTGCTCACTGCTGCATCTGTTGCCCTGGAGACCGAGGCCAGGGGCTGCCACCTGCCTCCATGTGCCCAGCCAGGGCTCCAGCTTCCCTCCTCCAATAATTCCCCTGGGCTCAGCTGCTCTGCTTGGAGTCCTGCAGCCCTGGCCTCTGTGACCCTGGCCCCCACCGTGGCCCTGGCTCCCATGGCCTTCCCCCTCCCGTGGCACTGACCCAACACCAGGATCCTTCTGTCTTCCCAGAGAACTTTTCAGTTAAGGCCTTAATTTCTACAATTTCAAATCTTTCTTTATAAAGATTTGCTTGAAAGAGTTATATATATAGAGAGAAATACTGTCCACATGCTGGTTTACTCCCCTCACTCCCCAAATGGCTGCAACAGCCAGGCTGAAGCCAGGAGCCTCTTCGATGTCTCCTACGTGGGTGCAGGGTCCCAACCACTTGGGCCACCCTTTGCTTTCCCAGGCCATCAGCAGAGAGCTGGATAGAAGTGCAGCAGCTGGGACAACTGGTGCCCGTGTGGAAGGCTGGCATTGCAGGGAATGGCTGCTGGGTCTCAGCACCAGCCCCTACTTGTTTATTAAAAAAAAAAAAACAGTTTATTTATTTTCTGAATTTATTTGTTAGAAGTGGGGCCAGAGCCTGGTGTCATAGGTAGACTAAGCCTCCGTCTGTGGCACTGGCAGGACCGTCCCTTGTTCTCCAGTAAAGCATGGCACTAGGCCAACATACCCAGTCAGGCTGTCCCTGCCCCCCACTTCCCGCGGCCCCAGGGTCTGCCTGCCGCCCCCTCCTCGGGTGCAGAGCTGGGCTCCCTCTCGACTGTCCTGATGCCCTGCCTGCACCTCGGCATTGTCGGCACTGCAGACCTGGGAAAGGACAGTGACACTAGGGCACTGGCCAAGCCTGCTGACCCACCACCTCCACTGTGGGGGTGCAGACATAGCCACACCCTCCTGTCCCATTTCTTTGTGGTACTCACCCCCTATAGTCCCCACATCCACCCTGTGGCCACTGGGCTCTCCCCCCAGGCCTGCTTCTCACCCGCAGGATTAATGGCCACCCTGGGAAGTCCACGCGCCTGGCTGGCCAGTGGAAGCTGGAAGAGGTCAGTTGGCCCCAGCTCCAGCTCCCGCCACCCGGCCCCTGCTGCCCTCCTGCCCCCTGTGGCTGACCACCTGACCACCTGTCCCTGCTGCCCCTCGCTCCCCATGGCTGACCACCCAGTTCATGCTGCCCTCCCGCCCCCGTGGCTGAGCGCCCTGACTACCCAACCCCTGCTGCCCCTTCCTGTGGCTGACCACCTGGCCCGATGCCCTCCCGCCTGCAGTGCCACCTCAGCGGCTGCATGATGGACTTGTTCGTGCAGATGGCCATCATCATGATCCTGAAGCAGACCTTGAGCAACTGTGCGGAATACCTGAAGCCGTGAGTGCCCCACGCTGCCCACTGCCCTGCCACCCCTCATGCCCTCTGTCCCGGCCCTGCCCTATGTGTCCCTTGCCCACAGGTGGCTGACCCATAAGTGGCGCACCATGTGTTCAGGGTCCCATCGCCTGGCCCAGGACCCTGAGCTCGCACACTGGCAGTGCAACTATCTCCTGAACGAGGTTACCCCCTTCAGCCTCTTCGACGAGTTCATGGAGATGAGTGCGTGGGCAGCGGGCAGCGGGGATGCGGGTGGCATAGGGTGGGGCAGCTTTCTGTGACCCACCACCCTCCGGCCACCCACAGTGATCCAGTACGGCTTCACCACCATCTTCGTGGCCGCCTTCCCGCTGGCGCCACTGCTTGCCTTCTTCAGCAACCTGGTGGAGATCCGCCTGGACGCCATCAAGATGGTGCGGCTGCAGCGGCGCCTGGTGCCTCGCAAGGCCAAGGACATTGGTCAGCGCTCATCCAGGCGGGCTCTGGGAGGTCCCACGGCTGGCACCTGACCCAACATCATGGTGGGGGGCGGGTCACCCAGGTAGGGCACACTAGGATGGGTGGGGGTCAATGAGAGACATGGGGGCAAGAGGGAGGTGGGAAGCAGGTTCCAGGATGGACGTCCATGGCAGAGCTGAGGCCAGGGTACTGGGGACCACCCCACCTAGCCTGTCAGCAGGACTTGGGTGGCCACTGTCGGTGTCACCTCCAGCTAGCCAGCCTACTGTAGTCTGGAGGAGCTGGCAGCTGACGGCCGCCTCCACCCAGGGACGTGGCTGCAGGTGCTCGAGACCATCGGAGTGCTGGCCGTCATCGCCAATGGCATGATTATTGCCTTCACGTCTGAGTTCATCCCCCGTGTGGTCTACAAGTACCGCTATGGCCCCTGCAGCCGGGGGACCCCCACCACCCAGGAGTAAGCAAGGCCTTCTCGGAGAAGCCCCTTTCCCCAACCAGCTCAGCCCTGGGCGAGGCCAGACTCCTGTCCTGATCATGGCCTGGGCTTCCTCAGCCATGGGGTCCTACCTCTGCTGTTATTAAGGAGGCCCCAGGGGGGAGGGACAACTGCCTGCCCTGCCCCATCCCATGGCCTGGTACATGGAGAGCTTTCTGGTACCTGCCCCCAAGCCTCAGCTCCGGTGGGGGTGTCCATCTCCACCCCAGGCTGACGGGAGAAGTGGAGGGGGCTAGCCCCACTGCCCCCAGGGGACTGGGCCAGCCCCCACACTAGCCACTCCTCCCCCAGCTGCCTCACGGGCTACGTCAACCATAGCCTGTCCATCTTCTACACCAAGGACTTCCCACACGTGGCGGGGACTGAGAGTCCAGAGAACGTGACCGAGTGCAGGTCTGGAGCCCCCACCCCTGCTGGCCCCACAGAGGCCTGTGATGCCCGCACCCCGGACTGACCCCAGCTGTCCCACCCCAGGTACCGGGACTACCGCCATGCCGGGGGTGACTACAACCTGTCCGAGCAGTTCTGGTTCATTCTCGCCATCCGCCTGGCCTTCGTCATCCTCTTTGAGGTGAGGACCAGGCCAGGGCTGGGCCAGACTCAGCAGTCCCCTCTGCGGCCACGGTCCAGCCGGCCCTGATCCCGCTTCTGCTGCCTGCAGCACGTGGCCCTGTGCATCAAGCTCATCGCCGCCTGGTTTGTGCCGGACGTCCCTCAGTCGGTCAAGAACACAGTCCTTAGGGACAAGTACCAGAAGCTGCGGGAGAAGCTGTGGTAGGGGCGGGGCCTACGACTGGGTGGGCGGGCACTGTGCGCAGGGCAGGGCCTGGACTCTCACCCACCAACCCCACCCTGCCTCCAGCTCCATTTCCAAGAGCACTGAGGTGTAGAGCCGAGCTGGAACCAGAGCTGCACTGCTACCTCGCACCGGCCCAGGCTCGGCGGGGAGTGTGTGTGTGGGTGAATGCGTGGTTTGTGTGTGCTGTGTGTGCACAGGGTGTGTAAATGTATAGAGTATTTCTATGGGCTGTATGTGTGGCGTTGTGGACCTGTGTGTGTATATGGAGGGGTGCGGCCATCACAGAACTGCCACATCTGTCCGGGACCTGCTCCATCGTGTGGACACCGTCCTGACTTCACCTCTGGGGAACCCGGAGACACATGACCTTGGGGAACAGGGGTCCTTGGGGCAGTCACAAGGCAGGACCAAGACCCCTGGGTTCTCCTGCCCTAGCTGGGGGCAGTTGAATGTGCATAATAAAATCATCCCTCTCTGTCGACTTCTGCTCTACTGGGTATGCTCCGGGGTGGAAGAAGGACAGGCCCCTGGGCCCCTACTAAAGCCCTCGGAACCTGCAGGTTGGCAGGAAGAGGCCGGCTTGGTCGTGGGAGAGGGTCAGGACTGGCTACTCAGGGGCAAGGGGCAGAGGCCTCCCGCGGCCCTGAGCGTCGGCACGCTGGCTGAGCCGGTTTGGCCTCTGCCCCATGGGTCAGGCGGCCACTGAGACCTGCGAGCGCACTCCAGCCTCCGGCGCAAAGCGGCACCCTGGGGCCCGCCCTGGGCCTGGCTGCGGGGCGGGGCTGCACCTGCCGCCGGCGCCGTCGCCTGCGCACCTGGCCCAGGTGAGCTGCCCCGCCCCCGCGGTCGCGCGACCGCGGAGGCCGGCGGCAGGTGCGTGGAGTCGCGACTCTCACTTGCGGAGGTCGCCGGCCCGGCGCCTCTTCGGCTCGGAGTGGGGGCGCAGGGCGCAGGGCGCACAGGGCGCGCGGGGCGGCGGCGCCCCGGGAACCGGCTCTGAGCGCCGCGGGCTCCTGGCGTCCCGGAAGCCCGTGCTTGGCTGCGTCCCGGCCCCTTCACGGCCTTGCTGGGCTCCGCAGGTGAGCGGGTGCCTCGAGACCCTTACTGCGGAGAGCGAGGGGAAGGAGGAAGTGGGGACTCCAGCTACACCCCGCAAGGTCGGTGTCTAAAGCGCTGGGGGCGGGCGGAAGCACTGGAGGGACCTGGGCTCCCGCGGGCGCCAGGCGCCGCTTCCGCCAGGCGCGCTCCGAGCCTCGGTGCGCGCTCACCTGGCGCGCGTTCCCGCCTCCGCGAGCACCCACGAGACGCCCGCAAACACGCGGGGTGCCGAGGCCGTGTGCCCCAAGGAACGACGGGGTCAGCAGAGAGTCCGGGGCGCTAGAGGCCCCTGTCCGCTCCCCCGGGCGCCGACCGGGGCTCCGCGCGCTTAATCGGCCCCGGGACTCGTCCTGGAGGAGCGCGAGGCGCTGAGGGGCCCCCCCGAAAGCGCGATTAGGTCCTGGGCCAGGTGATGGAGGTGCCAAGGCGCAGCTGCGGACAAGGCAGGACTTTCTAGGAACGGCGGCGAGGTGTGGGACGGAGCGGGTGCAGCACGGGCTCAGGCAGCGCTGCCTCCCCGGGCCCCAGGAAGCGGGGTCTGGAACTCCAGCCGGTTCTCCTTGCTGCACTGCCCGTTCTGGGGCCATGGCTGGTGGATGGGGGGCGAGGGTCAGAGAGCCCTGCTGGACACCCCAAGCCTTCCAACCCAGCAGCTCAGAGGTCAGAGACACTGAGGGTGAAGGAGTGTGTCTCCTGGCCAGGACCCCTACAATCATGCTGATCACCCACACAGTTATGCACACACGTGTGCTGCCCCCATGCACACACATGTATGCGCACACACACGATACACCATCCATGCAGGACTAAAGCACATTTACACGCCCCACATGTGTGCACACTGCTCAGGAAGTGTAGGGCCCTGTTGACTGGGGCGGGCCCAGAGGAAGCCGGGCCTGACTCACCCACAGGAAGAGCTGGCGGGTGGAGCGGCACCTCAGCCCACCCCCAGGGGAGGGGGCTCGGGTGGGGTGTAGGTCTGAGAGGATGTGACCGCAGTGCAGGAAGCTGATGGCACAGTAAACAAAGGCAGGCCCGGCGCTTGGGGATGTAACCTGGGCCCCGCTGAGGGGAGAGGTCGCCCCCAAGCCTGTCTGTAACCCCAGTGAACGCTGCTGGCCCCCAGGACAGGAGAGCTGGGACCAGGTGACTACTGTGGCCCCCCTGAACCCGTGGCTTTGAGGCCGGGCCTGGCTGAGGAGAGGCGTGGGGAGTGGGGCACGCATGCATGTGTGTGTGGTGTGTGTGTGAGGTCTGTGTAGGGGTGTGTGCGTGAGCTGAGCTGCGCATGTGTGTGTGTGTGAGCTGTGCGTGTGTGTGTGGAGGAGTGTGTGTGAGCTGTGAGTGTATGTGTGGAGGGGTGTGTGAGCTCATGTGTGTGTGGAGGGGTGTGTAAGGTGTGCATGTGTGTATCTGTGTGTGTGTGGACTGTGAGCTGTGCATGTGTGTGTGTGTGGAGGGGTGTGTGAGCTGAGCTGTGACCTTCTGCCCTGGTGGAGCTGTGTGTGCACGCAGCAGACACAGCGCAGGAGTTGCAGCAAAGATCTGTGTGTGCAGGAACAGCACGCCTGCCTTGGTGCACGGCTGCAGCCCGTGAGTTGCATGTGGGCTGAGTCAGCCTCTGCAAGGTTCTAAGGTCTGGGGATGCGGTGGAAAAGGGAGCCCCCATAGCCTCAGGGACTCTCCTGGACCAGCCCCCCCCAAAGGGTTCTTGAAGGACCCCTACAAGCCCTATGGGCAGGGTCAGGCTGAGAGGAGAGGTCACCATTGTCCCAGCCCCAGGGCTTCAGGAGAGGGGGAGTTGGGGACCCAAGGCCCTGAATCCATGTCCCTTGGGGAAGGGAGAGGGGCTGAGCATACCGAGTGAGGACAGGGCCCCACTCAGCACTCACCCGTCAGTCATGGCACCACAGGGTGGCTCCTGCAGGGCAGACAGGATAGTGGGGCTCCTGGAGGCTGCTTGGCAGCTCCACGTGAGGGTACCAGGGTGACCCAGGCGCGACCCCAGGGTGACCACTGTGTGCGCAAGCCCAGAGCCAGGCAAGGGATGTGTGTCTGCAGGCACTGACACCACTGCTTAGGGCCTGCCCTGTGGCAGCCCCCAGCACTCATCGCCTGTGCATGTCCATTGTAGGGGACAGTGAGCACTGGGATACCCATCACCACGTGGCCCCAGGGTGGGTGGGCATGTCCAGGGTTCCAGGTCTTGGGCTCACGGGTGCCTGCTGCTGATCATGGCACCCACAGCCCCCCAGGGTGCCCTCGTCAGATCACTATTCCTGTAGGGATGGTCACTGTCTGATCTATCCAGGCGCCCTGCCCAGCTGGCCACAAGGACAGAATCGAGTTCCATCCAGCCCGTGGGAACCAGTCTGCTTGGAGCCGAGGTGGCACGGGAGTCCAACCTACCCTCAGGAGGCCCCGGCAGAACATGGCAGGTGAACCCTCACTCCCAGCATGCCAGGGACTCACCCACAATCCTGGGTTGAACCATCTCCTGCCATAGCACCATGGCACAGGACCAGGGTTCAGGTACATGGGAGTGGGGTGAGTGACCCCCAGGACTGCACGCCCTGTAGCCTCACCCACAGCATTGGCCTGGCTGAATACAGCTGCACCAGGGTCAGAGGCCGAATGCCATCAGGAAAACGGGTACCTGGCCCCTAGAACTCACAAGTGGACACGGTGTGACCACGAAACCCCTGCGGCTCAAAGCTTTTGAGTCCTGCCCTGTGAGTGGGGGACCTGGTGCCATGCGGCTAACCTGCTATGCCTTCTCTCACAGGCATCTGCAGTGGGGACCCCCACTTCCTCTCCCCACCTGATGATCAGGTCCTGGGGCCAGTGCTGGGCAGTGCTGTCCCCTTGAACTGCACGGCCTGGGTGGTCTTTGGGCCCTCCTGCCCCCAGCCTGTGGTCCAGTGGTTCAAAGATGGACTCCCACTGGGCAATGGGAGCCGCTACAGCCAGGAGGACTTCTGGTGAGAGCCTGGGGTGTCCAGGGTCAGACAGCTGGATACTGCCTGCCCAGAGCGTGGCCTGGGTGAGATGCAGTGGCCTGGCCAGGACAGTGGGCTGGGTGAGATATACAGTGGGCTGGCCAGGGCGGCGGGCTGGCTAGGGTGGCAGGCTGGGTGAGGTGCAGCGGGCTGGTGAGGGCAATGGGCTGACTGAGGTATAGTGGGCTGGCCAGGGCAGTGGTCACCTTGGAGTTGGATCCACCCCCACCCTTCTTAGCTTGTGTCCCAGAGTGTCCAGGAGGGGATGTGAGGGGGCAAAGCTTGCTTGGAGCCTCTGGTGAGTGGGTGGGCATGGGTCCTCCCAGGGTCAATGCCAGCTTCTCGAAGGTTCTGGTGTCCAGCGTCCTGGGCGTGAACCTGACCAGTGCAGAGGACTATGGGGTCTACACCTGCTCCATCCAGAACGCCAGCTCCTCCTCTTTCACACTCGGCCGAGCTGGTGAGGAGGGCACCTGGGGCGGGAGGACGCGCCGCGGCGGGGCCGAGCACGGCTCAGGCCTCGTGCTCTCCCAGGTCCTGCAGGCCACGTGGCCGCGGTGCTGGCGTCCCTCCTGGTCCTGCTGGCCCTGCTGCTGGCGGCGCTGCTCTACGTCAAGTGTCGCCTCAACGTGCTGCTCTGGTACCAAGACGCCTACGGCGAGGTGGAGATGAACGGTGCGTGCGGGGCGGGAGGGCCCGGGGAGGACGCGGGGCGGCCGGAGGGCCGGGGGAGGACGCGGGGCGGCCGGAGGCCCAGGGCTGGGCCGAGGACCACGGCTGCCCTGCGCCCGCAGACGGGAAGCTCTATGACGCCTACGTCTCCTACTGCGACTGCCCTGAGGACCGCAAGTTCGTCAACTTCATCCTGAAGCCCCAGCTGGAGCGGCGCCGCGGATACAAGCTCTTCCTGGACGACCGCGACCTGCTGCCGCGCGCAGGTGCCGCCCGCGCCCCGCCCACCCAGCGCCTGGTCACGCCCACCGCGTCTGACCCCGCCCACCACATCCTGTCCGTCACGCCCCCGCCCACCGCGTCCACGCCCCTCAGCACCCCGCCCACCCAGCGCCCGGTCACGCCCACCGCGTCCACGCCCCGCCCTCCCGCGCCTGGCCCCGCCCCTCACCGCCCCGCCCCGCAGAGCCCTCCGCCGACCTCCTGGTGAACCTGAGCCGCTGCCGGCGCCTCATCGTCGTACTGTCCGACGCCTTCCTGGGCCGGGCCTGGTGCAGCCACAGCTTCCGGTGGGTGCCGCGGGCTGGAGGGCTTGGGGGTCGGCACGGTCCAAAGACGCTGACGCCGCTGCCGCCCCGCAGGGAAGGCCTGTGCCGGCTGCTGGAGCTCACGCGGAGACCCATCTTCATCACCTTCGAGGCGCAGCGGCGCGGACCCCCGCACCCCGCGCTGCACCTGCTGCGCCAGCACCGACACCTGGTGACGCTGCTGCTGTGGAGGCCCGGCTCGGTGGTGCGGGGGCGGGACCCACTGAAGAGACCCTCGGGTGGAGCAGGATTCCGTGCTGTGCAGTGGGGGACCCTCGGGTGGAGTAGGGCTCTGTGCCGTGTAGGGGAGGGACCCTTGGGTGCAGCCAGGCCTTGTGATGTGCAGTGGGGGACCCTCGGGTGCAGCCAGGCCTTGTGATGTGCAATGGGGGACCCTCGGGTGCAGCCGGGCTCCGTGCTGTGTAGGGGAGGGACCCTAGGGCAAAATCCTGGTGTGAGCAGAGCAGGACCCCTTGGGTGGGTCCGGTTCCGGTCGCTCAGGACCCCTCTTTGCCCCTAGGCGCCATCCTCGGAGTTCTGGAAGGAGCTGCGGCTGGCACTGCCACGGAAGGTGCAGTACCGGCAGGCGCAGGGGGACCCCCAGACCCAGCTGCAGGAAGACGAAGACCCCATGTTGATTATGGGTGGGCGCCGCCGCCAAGGCCGTGAAGGAGATGCAGGTGCACCTGGCAGCCCAGCGGAGACCTCACAGGGCGGAGGGGAGCGCGCCCTCTGGACACCTGCCTGTCCTTCCTAGCCTCAGGCCTCGCTGTCCCTCGCAGGTGCCCGGGGCCGAGTCTTTGCAGAGCCATCAGCCCCAGCGCCCACGCCGGGAGAGGGCCAGGGCAGCGAACTGGACGTGTCGGACCTGGGCTCCCGGAACTATGGCGCCCGCACCGACTTCTACTGTTTGGTGTCAGAGGGCGACGTGTAGCCCCAGGTGCTCCAGAAACCCCAGTGACAGAAAATAAAAGTCCTGGACTGCCCTGGTCTCTCATGGCCCCCTGTCACTGGGCCGGCCCAGCACTGTGTGAGGCCCTGGCCAAAACCCCGGGCCGGCCAGGGTGAGCAGAAAGTGTTGTCCAGTGGTGCAAGGACAGCCCTGCACCTGTCCGTGAGTGTCCATGGCCCCACTGCCCACCACCCCATCACCTCTCCCTCAGTGTGCCGGGACCCCCCATTCCCTCACTCTGCCAGGACCTCCCACCCCAGAGGCTGTGTGAGCTCTGGCGGCTGCCAGAGAGTGCGCGGGCCGGATGTGTTCAGAACCAGCTTTATTCCCAGCACGGCCGCCATCCCCACATCTGCCAGTGGGACAGCCCCTCCCCAGCACCAGAGCAGCCTCGGGCGCTGCCCACCCCTGCCCTGCAAAGCCCAGTCCCCAGCTGCAAGCCCCAGCCCCTGTCCAGGCCTTCCTGGGAGCCCCTGGGCCTCCGGCCAGGCTGGCCACTGGGCCTGTCCCTCGAAGGTCTGTCTCTCATAGTCCGGCCACACTGCCTTCTCCTCAGGGTGCCCTACGGGCCCAGGAAGTCCTCCTTCCGATAGCCCTTCTGCAAGACAGAGACCGGAGTCAGGGGCAGCTTGGTGGCCAGCCGGCTCCCTGAACCCAGTCCGCTGGAAGGACTTGCTCCTCCCTGGCCCTGCCCTAGGTGCAGGCTCCTCCCCACCCCATCCCCATGCAGGCTCCGCCCCCACCCCATCCCCCATAAGGCTCCGCCCCCGCCCCATCCCCCATGCCCACTTACCGCCCTGAAGTCCCGGTGGAGCTTGTTGTACTGCCACAGATTGGCCAGGAGGCTGGAGGCCGCCCGTGAGGACTTCTCACTGTCAGGACTGGGGGGACAGGGCAAGGGTCAGGCTCAGGGCTGTGGGGGAGGACTGGGCTGTGGGGGCTGTGGGGTAGGACTGGGCTGTGGGGGAGGACTGGGCTGTGGGGGAGGACTGGGGCTGTGGGGGAGGACTGAGGGCTGTGGGGGAGGACTGAGGCTGTGAGGGAGGACTGGAGCTGTGGGGAGGACTGAGGCTGTGAGGGGAGGACTGAGGGCTGTGGGAGGACTGAGGCTGTGAGGGAGGACTGAGGGCTGTGGGGGAGGACTGAGGGCTGTGGGGGAGGACGGGGCTGTGAGGGAGGACGGGGCTGTGAGGGAGGACGGGGCTGTGAGGGGAGGACTGAGGCTGTGAGGGAGGACTGGGGCTGTGAGGGGAGGACTGAGGGCTGTGGGGAAGGACTGGGCTGTGGGGGCTGTGGGGTAGGACTGGGCTGTGGGGGAGGACTGGGGCTGTGGGGGAGGACTGAGGGCTGTGGGGGAGGACTGGGCTGTGGGGGAGGACTGAGGGCTGTGGGGAGGACTGAGGGCTGTGGGGGAGGACTGAGGGCTGTGGGAGGACTGAGGTCTGTCGCGGCTGTGGGGGAGGATTGAGGGCTGTGGGGAGGACTGAGGGCTGTGGGGGAGGACTGAGGGCTGTCACGGCTGTGGGGGAGGATTGAGGGCTGTGGGGAGGACTGAGGTCTGTCGCGGCTGTGGGGGAGGACTGAGGGCTGTGGGGAGGACTGAGGGCTGTCATGGCTGTGGGGAGGACTGAGGGCTGTGAGGAGGACTGAGGGCTGTGGGGGAGGACTGAGGGCTGTCACGGCTGTAGGGAGGACTGAGGGCTGTGGGGAGGACTGAGGGCTGTGGGAGGACTGGGGCCGCCCTCACCTGTCCCGCTTCTTCTTGATGAAGACCAGCTTCCGCAGCCCGTCGAAGTAGAGCAGATCGCGGGCTGCGATGGGGCTGGCCACCACCAGGTTGTTGAGGACGGCTATGATGTTGACCAGCACCTCTGCGGGCGGCGCCTTCTCGCCCACGCTGCCCGGCAGCTTCTCTATGAGGTGACTGACCACCTTGGTGGCTGCAAGAGGCACGGTGACTTAGTTCTGCTCTGGCCGCCTCCCGAAGCAGCTGCCCCTGTCCCTTCAGAGCCCGGGAGGGGCCTTCCGTCCCCTGTGTGGCGCACCTGCCTCGGGCAGAGCTGGGTGCCAGCACCTAGTCCGCACCCCTCACCGCCCCCCCACTCACACATCTCGTCTTTGTTCCTGGCGTTCCGGGACAGGTTCCGGATGAGGCCGGTTAGAGAGCGCAGCTGGTGGTGGTCAGCGGTGCGCACGCGGTCCAGCAGCGGGTTCAGGATGCGCTCTTGCTCCAGGGCCAGGCGGCTCAGCACGCCCGCCCACTGTGGGGAGAGCGCTGTGAGGGGGCGAGCCGGCCCCCGGGCCCTGCCGCCCACCCCCCCGGGGCCGACCCCTGGCTCTGCCGCCCAGCCCCGGAAGCCCCCAGCGCCCGCGCAGCCCACGCGCGCTCACCCTGCGGTCGCCCGCCGTGATGTTCTGCAGGGCGCCGGCCGCAGCCTCCGTGGTGTGCCGGTTCAGCTCGCAGCGCTGCAGCAGCCGGTTGTACAGCCCCACGACCTGCGGGCTCCACAGCCACTCCAGGCCCTTGGGGTCCTTGGACACCTCGGCAAAGGTCAGCGCGTCCGCCGTGAGCGGCATCTGGCGGGATGCGTAGGGGCGCACAGGGTCAGCACGGCCGAGCAGGACCGGGCAGGGTCGCCTGCCCCACCTCCGCGCCCCGGCGGTGCCCACCTCTCGCAGCCTCCGGCTCTGTGGCGTGAAGCAGCCCACGGCCTCGCCGGACGGGGTCCCGGCTGCGTCCCTGCGGCCACGGCCCTCCAGCCGCTGCAGCGCCGACGGCGGCATCTCATCGTACAGGCGGTAGGACAGGTTGCGCAGCACGCACACGGCGTTCTCCACGCTCTGCGGGGGAACGGGGGTCAGCGAGCGCCGTGCCCCGGGGCCCCCTCTGCACCGGCGGCCCTCACCTTGTCCTCGCACTTGCCCACGTCCAGCGCGTGGTTGATGTAGGTGACCAGTGCGTCCACCAAGCCGTGGCACTCACGCATCTTCTGGCGCGTGGCCTGGGACGCCGAGCTGAGGTTCCTGGGGGCAGAGGCCCGTGAGACCCCCGCCACCAGGGCCTGAGGCCCTGGGGCACCCTCCCAGCTCCTGGCAAGTGGCTAAGTCCAGGCTGCAGCCTGGGGCCGCGCATCAATAATCAGGTCCCGGATTTCAAAAGCTTGTGCTGGTCCTGCCTTGGGGTTTGGAAGTGGGATCCTGGGGTTCCAAGGCCTGGGAGTGGGATCCTGGGGTCCCGAGGCCTGGGAGTGGGGTCCTGGGTCCCAAGGCCTGAGAGCAGGGTCCTGAGGCCCGGGAGCGGGGTCCTGAGGTCTGGGAGCAGGGTCCTGGGGTCTCCAAGGCCTGGGAGTGGGGTCCTGGGGTCTCCAAGGCCTGGGAGCGGGGTCCTGGGGTCTCCAAGGCCTGGGAGTGGGGTCCTGGGGTCTCCAAGGCCTGGGAGTGGGGTCCTGGGGTCTCCAAGGCCTGGGAGTGGGGTCCTGGGGTCCCGAGGCCTGGGAGCAGGGTCCTGGGGTCTCCACCCCTAGGAGTGAGGTCCTGGGGTCCTGAGGCCCAAGAGCGGGATGCTGAGGCCTGGGAGTGGGATCCTGGCGACCCGAGGCCTGGCCTCCAGTGCCTGCGCACCTGAGGAAGCCCGTGGCGTTGTAGAAGATCTCAGCCTCGGATGCGTTTTGCTGGATGAGTGGGGGGCCCCCGGCCCCCGACAAGGGGCTCAGCACCAGGTCCGTGAGCTGCTCCAGCGTGTCCCGGGCCAGGCGGTCCTTGAGGTGGTCGCTGGACGACAGGTTCCACAGGATCCCTGGACAGGCAGCACGCAGTCAGCACCCACCTACCCACCCACAGGGCTTCCAGGGGCCGGGCCAGTGGAGAGCACCGCGCAGGTCGGGCATGAGGCCTGAGGTGGAGAGGCGCCCTGGGGTCCCTGATGGCGGGACAGCGGGGGCGTGGCCAGGTGGTGGGCGGGGACAGAGGGCAGGGACAGTGACAGAGCTGGTGGGCGGAGCCTATGGGCGGGGCAGCTGGGGCGGAGTCAGCAGCTGGGGCCTCCACTGGCCTCGAACCTGTGACGTTCTTGCGCAGCTCATCGTCCTGCTCCCGCAGCGTACGCAGCAGCTCGAAGATGCCGTTCTCCTCCACCAGCGCCAGCTTGTTGTCGGCGTTGTCGTAGATGAGGTTCCGCATGGCGCCCGTGGCATGGCGCTGCACCTCCTGGTTGGCGTGGTTGAAGAGCTTCACAAGGCGTGGCACGGCCTGCAGGCTGCGGGCCTGTGGGCAGGGGAGGGCGTGGGCTGCAGCAGGTCCAGGCCGGGAGCGTGGGGTCTCCGGCCCCCCACTAGGCGGTGTGCCGCGCTTCACCCCGGAGTGCGCGCTCACCTGCCCCTCACTGCACCCCGGGGTGCGCGCTCACCTGCCCCCACTGCACCCCGGGGTGCGCGCTCAGCTGCCCCCACTGCACCCCGGGGTGCACGCTCACCTGCCCTCACTGCACCCCGGGGTGCGCGCTCACCTGCCCCCACTGCACCCCGGGGTGCGCGCTCACCTGCCCCCACTGCACCCCGGGGTGCACGCTCACCTGCCCTCACTGCACCCCGGGGTGCACGCTCACCTGCTTCTTGGCGGCTGCGTCGCTGTAGCACTTGTGCTGGATGTAGGCCGCTCCCAGCACCTGCAGGTTGGGGTCTGAGGCCATGAGGTACTTGACTGCGGAGGGGAGGTCGATGTCATCGAAGCTGCGGGGGCAGGGGCAGGGGTCAGGCTGGCCCAGGGGCGCGGCTCGGGCCGGCACGGACGCGCGGCTGCGGGCAGGCCCCGGGGCTCACCCGCTGCTGAGCCTCTGCAGGGAGCGGTGGCCCAGGTAGCTGTCCAGTCCGCGCACGTCCGGCAGGTGCCCAGAATCGGCCAGGCTCAGGCTGAGGCTGCGAACGGAAGGTGCGCGCGCGACGGGGTCCAGCACGGGACCCCCGGCCATCCCCCGGCTGCGGTGGCTGCTCTGGAACCGCTGCAGGGTCCGCATGGCCGGGGCCCGGATGGTGCGGCTGGGGGCGCCCTCCAGGGCCTCGGGCCAGTCCAGCCCCGCAGCGCGGCCTGGGCCAGCGCTGGCCTGGCGCTCGTAGGCGAAGGCCCTGTAGGAGGCGGTGGCCGCAGGCTCCAGCTGCTCGGACACCACGCTGTAGCGGTCGTCCAGGCCCCCAGAGCCCAGCCGCAGCGAGCGCAGGGAGAGCGTGTCGTAGTCGGCCCGGCCCCCTGTGCCCCCGCGCTCGTGGAAGGACACGGGGCGCGCAGGCATGGCGTGGCCGGGCGGGGCGGGTGCAAAGGCGCTGCCCCCGTTGTGGGCCGAGCTCAGCCGGCGGCTGCAGCTCAGGTCCACAGCCGAGCGGGAAGACCAGGTGGCCGGGCCGTAGGCTGGCTTGGCGAGCGGCCGGAAAGTCTGTGGATAGAGACAGGGCAGCGAGGGGTCACAGGGGTCCCCAGACGCTCTGCCCTGCCTGCGCCCCCTCCAAGCAGCCGTCACTCACCGAGGTCTTGTCCCCGCTCAGGCCCTGGGAGCGGGAGCTGAAGCCAGACTGGAGGGTGTGGAACTGACCCCTGGACGGGCCTGCCAGGAAGCACAGGGATGGCTCAGCCTGGCCACACAACTGCACGCTGCCCACTGCCTCCCCTCTTATGCCCCCCGGCTTGCTCCTGTCCCCCACCCCACGACCTCCTCTCCCCAGTGAGCCCTAGCTCCCAGGACTAGCTCTGCTGACCCAGCCAGCCCCCTCCCTCTGAGAGCCCGCCAGGCCTGCAGAGCCACACTGTTGCTGAGCTGCTCCTGGGTCCAGACCCTGTCAGCACCTGGTCGCAGGGCAGTGTGGCTGCCTGGACCAGCCTGCTCCGTGGGCACCAAGTGCCCGAGGCAGGGACCACACCCGGCCCATCCAGCCACGCACAGACTGGCGCCTGACTGCTCGGTGAGTGGACAGACAGGTGTGTGGGTGGACGGATGAGTGGATGGGTGAGGGAGTGGGTGCTAGAGAAGTTGGCATGGAGGGAGTGGATGCCAGGGTCCCTGGCATCCCCCAGCAGGGGAACGGTCTCCCTTGTGCAACTAGCCTGGGTCCCAGGGGCCACGGGGGTCCAGACAGTTGGCCAGGAGTGGGGAGTCCCCCACCTGTACACACCCCAGACCCACCCCGGTTAATGAGGCTTTTGGACAGACTATTAACCCTTTGACTGCGAGCTGGTGGCCTAGGGGCCTGACCCCCACCCCCAAATTATAATCCTCCTCCCCCTAATTGGCAGGGTAGCCAAGTGGTAATTAACCCCCTCTCCCACCCCATGACCCCTGGGACTGACTCGCTGCCAGCTAGGCCGAGGCCCGGGGAGGGGCCACCCCCTCACTGGCTGACCCTTCACTCAGCCAGGGCTGGAGGTAACTTGGGAAGGAGCCAGGAGAACTGGTCCAGATCTATGTCCGTGTGACCCTAATTCCTGTCACCTACATGAGCCCCACATGCACACACACAGCAAGCAGTGGCCAGGACTCCTGCCAGCTGGCCCCCAGGGACACCCCCGCCCAGCGTTCCCACGGGCAGCCTGGGCTGCCTGGGCTTCCACAGGGGCCCCAGTCCACCCCTCCTCTCTGGTCTCTGCTCTCAGGCAGGGGGGCTCAGGTTCAGGCTCAGGCTAGGAATGGGCGCTGCCTCCAGCTCCCAGGTTCCGGGTTTGCCAACCCACTCCCTGTCCGTGGCCTCAGCCTGACCTCCATGTGCTGGTCCCACACTGCGTCCCCCTCACTGTGGCCCAGGGGCGTGTAGGGAAGAGCAGAGGGGTCCCTGCAGGGGTCCCCAGGGAGGTGGCTCGCCCCGCCCTGGGCCGCTCCCCTGGCTGCGCTGGTGGTGACTCAGAGCAGGTGAGACAGGGCCGGACCAGGGCCCAGCGGCCTCTGCCCCCGCCGCGCCCGGCACACCGCCCCCCGCCTGCCGGGCTCACCTCGAGCTGCCTCGGCTGCACCCTCCGTCTCGGCCGCCCCGTTGTGCCGTGGCTGCTGGCCCAGCTGCAGCAGGCGGGCACGGACCTGCTCCTGGACGCGGGCCGCCCGCAGCCGCTGGGCCTCGGGCCCCTCAGCACTCCGGCGGTCCAGCTGCAGGTCGGAGGGCAGCGCCAGGGAGCACACGCCGGCCTCGGGCTGCAGGGCCGACAGCAGGAAGTTACCGTCCTGCATGGCGCCGCGCTGGCCTCAGGATCTGCCTGGCCCGGGCCTCGCCGGGCCGCCTGGGCCGCCGGCACTGTCTTCACCGTCCTGTCCCCAGAGTCCCCTCCCCGCGGGCGCGCCCAGAGCCGGCCCGGCCAGCCCAGCTCGCGAGGGGCGGGGACACCTGGCCAGGTGGGAGGGAGGGGCCGGCTCTGGGTTAAGGTGGAATTTGGCGGAAGAACGGGCCCTGCCTCCTTCCCTCCCACCCCCGGGCAGGGGTCTGGGTCCTTCCGTCTCAGGCCTGGCAGGGCCCTAGCGAGGTTGTTGGAGAAGTGAGGGGCTGGTTGGAGCCTGGTGAGGACTGCGGAGTCCCTGATGGGCAGGGCATCCAGGGCTGCAGGATCAGTGGGAAGTCCAGGACTTGCCTGAGGCCCTGGCCTTGGTTCTTGGAGCTGAGAGACCCCCTGACCTGGCCGGTCCTGCAGGGGGCCCCTTGGCCCCCTCGTTGGCTGGTGCCCCAGGGTCTGGGCTGGGAGCCCCATTACCAGCCATGAGTCAGGCCCAGGCGGGGCTGCCCCAGGGGATTGACTCAGAGGGGCCTGGGCTCCTGTCAGCGCCTGCCAGGCTGGGGGAAGGGGGACAGACAGAAGCCGGGGGTTCAAGGAGGAGCCAGAAGTCTGGGGTCCCATGGTCTGAGGGTCTGAGGAGTGGGGGACAGCCCCCAGGTTGGGGGAACAGGAGGAGCTGTCGCCACAGCTGCACCCTCTGCTCTCCCTTGCCCAGGCTGGAGGGTGGGGTGCCCTGTGGAGGGTGGGGCTAAGGGCAGCGCCCTAGGGGGTCCAGGTGAGGAGGTGGGGGTCAGGGGGGCTGGGGAAACCTACCCCGCTGTTGGTCTGGACCCCACAGGCCCCTGCTGCTGGCCGCGGCGTTCTGGGCTCCATTCCGGCCCTGCTAGAGCAGGCACAGTGGGGCTGGAAGGGCGGAGTGCGACGCCGCACGCCCAGCTCATCCAACCGGTTGCTTCCCTGGGAGCCAAGCTCCGTGTGGAAAACCCTGGGAGACAAGTCTGTGCGGAGCTCAGCGCCCAGGGCGCGCCTGCAGCAAGCTCCCCCCCCCCCATGCCCGCACCCAGGCTGGCCCTGCACCGCGCCCTGCATCCCACACTCCCAGTCCCCAAACTCATACCCCCAGCACCCAACTCAGTCCTTTGTCCACTCAGCTACACACCCAGGCCAGCTCTGCGCCCTGTCCTGCACCCCTGCACTGTGCCCCTACACCCTACTTCTCTGTGCTTGGCACTCCCTCAGGAATCTGGAGCCTGCTGGGCTCCTGGGGGTCTCCAGGTGGGTGTCACCCTCACCATGGGTGGGAGGGGGGTATGGGACAGACCTTGGTCAGGATAGGGCTGCGAGGACTAGGGCTTGGGTGTGAGGGCTGGGGTGATGGGACCTGGGCTGGGGTGAGGGGACCAGGACTGGGGTATGATGACCAAGACTAGGGTGATAGGACCTGGGCTGCGGTGATGGGACCACAGCTGGGATGTGAGGACCAGGGCTGGGGTGAGGGGACCAGGGCTGGGATGTGAGGACCAGGGCTGGGGTGAGGGGACCAGGGCTGGGATGTGAGGGGACCAGGGCTGAGGTAGACTTGCCCAGCCTAGACCCCTGAGGTACTTCCTGTCTACTTCCCTGCACAGGCTCCAACTAGCATTGGCCTGATACTTGGGCTTTAGCATATCCCCAGTGGGCCGGCCCAGCCTGCAGTGGGCTCCCTGCCTCTAGTTGGTTCTCTTTAGCCAGGCTCTCAGCTGATGGAGGGTACCTGAGGCAGCTCCACATCTTAGCTGACCACAAGTCAGCGGCCAATTGGCCATTCTTCTTTGTTTCCTAAAGATTTATTTGAAAGGCAGAGGGACAGACACAGTGAGAGTGAGCCCCTGTTTCTCGCCACAGCTGGGACTGGGCCAGGCTAAGCTGGGCATCGGGGCTCCCAGGTCTCTCTCAGGGGTGCGGGGCCCAGCTCTGGACCTGGGAGGCCGGGTGGGAGGCAGGGTGTTGGTGTTGCCATGGCAGTGTGTTCACAGGGCCAGCACAGCACAACAGAACTGGTTTGGTTCTGTTTCGGTTTTGAAGGTTGGTTTATTTAGGAGACTGGCTATTGCAGTCTGCGGAGCACAGTGGGGTGGACAACTTCTCCCTGCCTGTCTGTCACTGCCCTGGGGTACAGCCTCTACTCTCCCTCAGCACTCCCAACCCCCAGCTCCTGCAGTGTGAGCAGGCAGGCCCTGCCTTGGCCAAGCCCTGGCCACCCCGGGCCCCTTCCTGCAAAGGGCCTTCTCCTGGGGGCTGCGAGGCCTATGCTTTGCAGCAAAGCTGATCCGCTAAGATGGGATTCTGGAGGGGTGTGACTCGCGGTGCCAGATCCCACCCAGGAGAGCCTGTCTGAGCTGGGCCAGGCTGAAGCCAGGAGCTTTCTCCAGGTCTCCCCTGTGGGTACACTTGGCCATCATGTGCTGCCCCTTCCCCTCTGGCCATCATCGGGGGATGGATCAGAAGTGGGACAGCCAGAACACCCACAGGCCCCGTAGTCTGGGATGCAGGGTCTCTGTTGACTCTGGTGCCACTGCTCCTGGGAAATCATCCATTTGAGTGGACCGTGCCTGGGACTGAGCAGCCATGGGCCTCAGGACCAGCAGGGCATGCCAGAAGTGGGGTCTGCCCTCTGTGGCAGTCAGGTGCCCCCACCCCTCATGGCTTCAAGAAGATGGGGTCCACTGCAGAAGGCATGTGGCATGAGGGCTCATGGGAGGCCCTTGTGGTCATGTGTCCAGGGCTCAGGTTGGTCCTATCTTGGTGCCCTGGTCAGGCCTGGCCTCTGTCCTACCTTGTGGTTTGGCCCATATGCCATCCCTCCTCACCCCTCCTGGCGACTGTGTCTATGGAAGCACCTCCTCTGGCCCCACCTGAGGTCCCAAGTGGTCGGTTTTGGGGGGTCCAGGTGTGGCCTCTGTACTGCCTGGAGAGAGGAGACAGACTGGAGCCCAGGAAGGAGCTGGGGCGGGGCAGGTCCCTCACAGGAGCCTGGACAGGTTGAAACTGTCGCCGTGGTCTAGGGAGACAAGACAAGTCCTGGGCCCTTGACCCTGACCACTTCCTGTCCGCTCCCTCCCCCAACAGTCAGCGAAGCCAGGAGCACAAATCCGAACTAAAAAAAATATTTCATTTCATTCTGAATAAAAACCAGAACAGACGGAAATCCTGAAAACAATGTCATCACTACGCAAAATTTCACAGAAATCGTCGCAGTGCGCAGGAGGCCAGCTCGGCGCTGGGGTGGCCAGACAGGCGCAGTGGTGGGGGGCTGCCGGGCCGGGGTGCGTCGTCAGGGTCCCCCAGGACGGGCGCCCCACATGCCACGCTTGGAGTGGTAGTGGTGGTAGAAGTGCCGCAGCCTCAGCCGCTCCACCTCCAGCCCCGCCTGCAGGACCCTGGGGAGGGCGATGTGGGTCAGGGTCGGGTGCAAGGGGGAGCTGCCAGTGGAGGTGGGCCGGAGGGGCTCGCAGGAGTGGAAGAGGCTGGAGGTCAGCCTTGGGGTAGGACGGGGCTCCTGGTGCTGGGGTGGGGACGGGAGGGGTATTCTGGCGGGTCTCCTGGGCCCTAGACAGGCACCTGTCCAGCAGCTCCCAGTCCTCGCCGCCCCACTGGTCGCGGAATTCCTCTGTGTTCATGCCACCCACGCGGTCGAAGTCGGACTTGTAGATCCCGAAGAGGCCGAATCCGTTCACCTCCCAGTAACCTGGGGCGGGGACAACCTTTAGGGGGAAGGAAGCCACCTGGGGTTACAGCCACCCGACGGGGCTGGTGGGGGCATGTTACCGCGGGGGTTCCCTGGAGAGCTCCCGCAGCCCAGGCGCATGACCACGGGGGCGAAGGCCAGCTTGCCCTCCACGCAGTGCTTGCGGATGCTGTCTAGGATGCTCGGTGGGAAGTGGATGTGCAGGTCGCAGAGGAAGACGATGCTGCGGGGATCCTGTGGAGTGGATGGTGTGAGCTGCGCGCCGGGCACCCGCCCGGGCTCCCTGCCCCTGCATGGCCCACAGCCTGACCTCCACAGCGTCTACTCCAGCCTGCAGCCCAGCCGAGCGCTCGAAGTTCCCCGTGCGTCTCAGATACTGGTACCTGAATAGGGGGAGGGGAGGCATCGCCGGAGCCGATCTGGGGGCCACACGTGGGCTGGGGCGCCCGCGCAGGGCCCTTACCGGGGCAGTCGTGCCATGCGCAGGGCCTTCTCCACGTCCATGTCGTCGCTCTCGAAGTCCACCAAGACCACGCTGAAGTGCGAGTCCCCAGTGCGCGCCTGCAGGGCGGCCATGTCCGCCAGGAACTGTGCCACCCAGCGCGCCTGGTTCTTCACTGCAGGATGAGGCGGGGGGGGGGGGGGGGTGCTCAGCCAGCCCTGCGTGCTCCCACGCACCCTCGGCTGGCCTCCAGGTGCCCTGACCCCCAGGTCCCGCCCCGCACCTGGCACGATGAAGTGAACCGTCACGTCCTGGCGCCAGGACAGGCGCAGTGGCCGGCACAGCTCAGGGCGCCCGTCCGGGCGTGCCGAGGCAGCGGCGGGTGGCGCGGGGCTCTGTGTCTCCGCGCCGTCGTTGGCATCGGCGCTACGGGCCCCGGGCAGACGCAGGAAAACGTACTCCGACAGGCGCAGGCGGCCACCGCCACGCTCCTGTAGCTCCAGCTCCAGCAAGAAGCGGCTCCCGCGAGCCGAGTCCCGGCGTTTCTCCACGTTCACGATGCGCAGCAGTGCGAAGCGCCTGCAAGGCGGCACAGATGGGGTCAGCCCTGGAGGCCTGCATGGGGTCAGCCCTGGAGGCCTGCATCTTGCCCATCTTGCCTGCTTTCCCTCCATTCCGAGCCTCCTATCCCCAGAGCAGACCCCGCTCCGGTCTGCCTCTCAGAGGAGCCTCTCTGCACTTCTCTGGAAACACCAAGACAGAACTTCTGTGGGACTCAGGCACCCAGTCCTGCACGCCCCACACATCAAGGGCTCCTGCTCCCCCATTTGCAATTGGAGCCGTGACCCCTGGCTGGGCAGGTCGCTCGAGGCCAGGACCCCTGATCAGGGCTCAGAAGTAAGGGTAGACCATGCTGCCCCCCAGCTCCAGGGTCCCGGCCATTGGCTCCCTGCTCTGAACTGGGCCCACTGGGTCCCTCCCATAGCACACACTGGAGTATGTGGCCATGGGGCAGCCCCTGACTATGCCGCCTTCCCCGGGGAAGCCACCCCAACAAACCTGCATGGGCTCCTGGGCCTAGTCCTGCCTGAGAAAATGGCTGGGATCCCTCCTGGGGCCATGCCCATGGCCACGAGACGACATCCCTAACCTGGGCCAGGGTCCTCAGGTCTCACCCCCGTACCCGCCATGGCGCCCGTTGAGCCGCTCCATGTACTGTGCCACCACGTCCACGGCCTCGGCCTCAGCCAGCTGTAGGTTCCCAGACACATTGCAGCGCAGGTCGTTCCAGTCGGAGCGCAGCAGCTCGAAGTCCACGGTGCCCACGCTGAACGTGCGCTGCCAATCAATGGCCGCCTCACGCCAGCGCCCCGGGGCCCGGCCCATGGCCGCCTCCGCGCTGTCGCCAAGCGCTGCCTCCTCTCCATCATCCTCCTCCTCGCCCTCCCTCAGCCGGGTCGCCTGGGATAGGCTCAGGAAGGAGGTGACGGGCCGCGTCTCTGAAGACCAGTTGGAGGCTACTGGTGTTGGGGGCCCTGGCGAGCTGGCCTGGCCCTCCCAGGCCCCTGCGGTGGGTTCTGCGTGGGTCTGGGGAGCACCAGTCCTGCGGCCACGGGGATGGGGCGCGTGTGGGGGTGGCCGCAGCCGCACTCTGGGTAGAGGCCTGGGGCGCAGGAAGACACCTGGAAAAGGCGGCCAGGGCGGGCCACGCAGTGCAGATGCCCCAGGGCTCCTGTGACGGCCCAGCCGCACCCGGGTCACGTACACCCGTGGGGGCGGAGGCGGGCGCTGGCGCTCGGTGTTGCGGGGCGGCGGGGCGCGGCCCAGGAAGAGGGGTAGGGGGCGTGCAGCCCCTGCGGCCCAGCTCAGGGCGCGGGAGCGCCGGGGCGTCAGCTCATCCGGGGCGCTGGGGGGCGTCGGGGAGGCAAAGCTGCCGGCCACCTCTGTGGGCTCTGCGCCGTCCAGCAGGTCCCCCTCGCCTTCATCTTCCAGGAGGTCTGCAGGGAGCGCGGGCTCAGCAGGCACGCCGGGGGCTGGCTAGCGCAGGGCCGGCCCGGGGTGGAACTCACCCTCCGGGTTGAGAAAGAGAAAAGCCCGGCGCTGCACCTCCTCCTCCTCGCCCTCCTCCTTGTCCATCTTCATGTATTTGTAGAACCCGAACCTGGGCGAGTGTGGGGCCTCAGACACCTGCCGCGGAGGCCCCGCCCTGCCCCAGTGGGAACCCCCACACCTTTCCAGGTAGAGTGGCGACTCGCGGTAGAAACACTTGTTCTCTGTCTCCATGTGGGTGAGGCGCGTGTGGTCGTTGGGGTACACGAAGGACAAGTACACCTGTGGGGGCAGAGTTAGGGCGCAAGAGCCGCAGGCACCTGGGGGGCGCAGGGTGAGGATGTGGCATCCGCCGACACTTACAAACTGCAGGCCCTGGTATCTGGCGATGGGGAAGTCCTTGACAACGTAGGTGGGGGCGTAGGCGCAGGGTTCCAGCACATTCTCCACACTGGCGGGCTCCACGCGTGGGGCTGAAGAAGAGGCTGTCATGGGCGGCTCCACGGCCCCTCACCCAGCGCACCCTCCCGCCCGGCCCACGCCTCACTGAGGAAAAAGGTGTCCCTGGGGTCCGGCCGCAGCATGTCGGCGCTCGGCTCCTCCGGCGGTGCGCGCCCCCCAACGTGGCTGGCTGGAGACTGAGGCACGTGGGCCACATAGTCCATCTTCAGCGCGGACTCGTCTGCGGGCGCAGGGGTGTGTGAGCCCCAGCATGGCCTACCTTCACACAGGTGAGCCCACCGCTCGCCCCCAGCTCAGCCCGCACCTGTGTACAGGGAGATGTGGGCGGAGCCGATGACCTCAAACTTCAGGCCAGGCAGGAAGGCGCGCCACTGGGGTGAAAGGCGAGTAAGGCAGTGCTGGCTGAGTCGGTCCACACCCCTCCAGACACACGCCCACGGCTCCTCCCTGATCATCTGGAGCCCAAACCCACAGCCCCTGGAGGTCCATTTCCCACACACTGTCCTCTGCATGTCCTGTGCTGGCTGCACCCGTGGGCATGTATACCCCAGCACAGGCTCCCACAGGCCCCACTCACGCCCACTTCCACGTGGTCCGAGCCACGGTCGTCCTGCTTGTGCAGCAGCTCGAAGTAATACCTCCGGGAAGCCATGAGCCTGGGGGCCAGAGGAGCCGCTATGGGGCTGCAGTGTGCGGCCATGGCCACCCCCACGCATGTCCCCTGGCCAGAGCATGTTCTCACACACGTCATCCCCCACGCATGTCACTCACCGCCTTGGCTTTGACACCTGCGAGCTGAACTTGGTGAATTCTCCAGGAGCCGTCCACTCAGAGCCAGTCTGGGGGAGACAGCAGGGCTGTGGGGGCAGCAGGCCTCTGCAGACCCCATTTCCAAGGGGTCAGGCAGAGATCCAGGGTGGGTAAGGGCAGGGCAGAGTACCTTGCCCACAAAGGCCACCAGCCGGGCAGCCGCTGGGCTCTCGTCCACGCTCAACCAGAACTCTGAGTTGTCGTCCGAGGCCACAGAAAACTGGACATCACCTAGTCCAAGGACAAGGGTTCAGGGGGGCTGATGCATTGACACTCCCACCCTGCACCCCCCACACACACCATCTCTCGCTGGGTGGAGGAAGCCGAAGATCCGAAGGCCATAGTTCTTCCACTTGGGGGACACGGCAAGCTTCTTCACTGTGGTGCGAATCTGGGGGGCAATGGCTGTCAGGTCAGGCCTGCCACCACACTGGCGCCCATGTCAGGCCCACCTCCTGCCTCGCCCACCCATGTCAGACCCACTGCTGTCCTTCCCACCCCAGCAGGCCCACCTCCCGCCTCACCCATATACATCAGGCCCACTACTGCCCTTATCACCCCCAGTAGGCCCAGCTCCAGACCTGTTCACACAATCAGGCCAGCACTTGCCCACAACTCATATCAGGCTCAGTGCTTGCCTTGCCAACCAAGGCCAGGCCCTTGCCCACTGTGTCCCACCCACACAGTTCAGGCCCATCCCATCGGGCCCAGTGCCGGCCTGCCTGCAGTACTCACATGGGGAAACAGTGGGAAGTGTAGGTTCCTTCGCAGGTGGCCCACTGCACCTCCACACCAGTCCTCAAACACATGCAGGTTCACCTGCCCTTTGTACTGCGGACACAGAGGGCTCACCGTTGGCTTAGCCCCACACCCTGTCCCTGCCCTGGGCCTCGCCAAGCAGACCAGGGCTCACCTCCTCCCGCCATGGGGGCACCTGGTGAGTGAGGTTCACGGGGAGTGACCTCCTAGCACCCCCAGGAAACAGAGCATCCGGGTTGTGACCATCCAGCTATGGAGATAAAGGAAGGCAGAATCAGAGTTGAAAGGGCAAAAAGAAGTCACACAGCCACACACAGCACACAGATGTACACTCAAACACACACAGGTGCACACTCAGATACACACAGGTGTACACTCAGATAACACACACAGGTGTACACTCAGATACACACACAGGTGTACACTCAGATACACACACACGTGTACACTCACTACACACACAGGTATACACTCAGATACACACACGTGTACACTCAGATACACACACGTGTACACTCAGATAACACACACACGTGTACACTCAGATACACACAGGTGTACACTCAGATAACACACACAGGTGTACACTCAGATACACACAGGTGTACACTCAGATACACACACAGGTGCACACTCAGATACACACACAAGTATAAACTCAGATACACACGCAAGTATAAACTCAGATACACACACAGGTGCACACTCAGATACACACACAGGTATACACTCAGATACACACACAAGTATAAACTCAGATACACACACGTGTACACTCAGATACACACACAGGTGTACACTCAGATACACACGCAAGTATAAACTCAGATACACACGCAAGTATAAACTCAGATACACACACAGGTATACACTCAGATACACACACAAGTATAAACTCAGATACACACAGGTGTACACTCAGATACACACACAGGTGTACACTCAGATAACACACACAGGTGCACACTCAGATACACACACAGGTGTACACTCAGATACACACACGTGTACACTCAGATACACACAGGTGTACACTCAGATAACACACACAGGTGCACACTCAGATACACACACAGGTATACACTCAGATACACACACGTGTACACTCAGATACACACACGTGTACACTCAGATACACACAGGTGTACACTCAGATAACACACATAGGTGTACACTCAGATACACACACAGGTGTACACTCAGATACACACACAGGTGTACACTCAGATACACACACAGGTGTACACTCAGATACACACACAGGTGTACACTCAGATACACACACGTGTACACTCAGATACACACACAGGTGTACACTCAGATACACACACAGGTATACACTCAGATACACACACGTGTACACTCAGATACACACACGTGTACACTCAGATACACACACAGGTGCACACTCAGATACACACACAGGTGTACACTCAGATACACACACAGGTGTACACTCAGATACACACACGTGTACACTCAGATACACACACAGGTGCACACTCAGATACACACACAGGTGTACACTCAGATACACACACGTGTACACTCAGATACACACACGTGTACACTCAGATACACACAGGTGTACACTCAGATAACACACACAGGTGTACACTCAGATACACACACAGGTGTACACTCAGATACACACACAGGTATACACTCAGATACACACAGGTGTACACTCAGATACACACACGTGTACACTCAGATACACACACAGGTGCACACTCAGATACACACACAGGTGTACACTCAGATACACACACAGGTGTACACTCAGATACACACAGGTGTACACTCAGATACACACACGTGTACACTCAGATACACACACGTGTACACTCAGATACACACAGGTGTACACTCAGATACACACACGTGTACACTCAGATACACACACAGGTGCACACTCAGATACACACACAGGTGCACACTCAGATATACACACAGGTGCACATTCAGATACACGAGTACACTCAAACACACACACAGGTGCACATTCAGATACACACACGTGTACACTCAGATACACACACAGGTGCACACTTAGATACACACAGGTGTACACTCAGATACACACAGGTGTACACTCAGATACACACACAGGTGTACACTCAGATACACACACAGGTGTACACTCAGATACACACAGGTGTACACTCAGATACACACACAGGTGCACACTTAGATACATACAGGTGTACACTCAGATACATACAGGTGTACACTCAGATACACACACAGGTGCACACTCAGATACACACACAGGTGTACACTCAGATACACACACAGGTGTACACTCAGATACACACACAGGTGTACACTCAGATACACAGGGGTACACAGCACCCAATTGCTTTCAGTGAAGTCCCTCCATGTATGTCCATGTCACCGTAACACCCTGTGGCGTGCAGTCTTGCCCACCCCCATGTGTCCACCTAAAATGCACCCTTTGCACACCTGCCCAGCACACTCATGCCCCTGCACCTGTAGCCATGCAGCCCAGGCTGATGCTCCTCTAGGCTGAGCTGGATGCTGGGGCACACACAGGCCATTCCGTGTCTGCCCATGCACACAGCTCACACCGACTCCCTGGAGCACTGCACACCCCCAGCTCTGCTCACCCCCTGCTCCTCTTCCTGACTCTCACTGGACTCCTCCGTCTGCTGTGGGGACGGCACGGTCTGGACACTTCGCCCCTCAGTCACACCCACTGGCCGCTCACTCTCTGTGGGCAGTAGGGAAGTCCAAGGCTGGGGTCAGTGAGGGCCGGGGTCAGTTGAGGTCTGGGGTCAGCGGGGGCTTGGGGCTGGAGCCTGCTGGGGCTCAGGGTCTGCTGGGTCATTGGGGGCCGAGTCCCTTACCCCACAGGCTGTGTAGGGCGGGAAAGCTCCCTGGTGCCGTCCTGTGCCATGCCCAGCGTCCAGGCCTCCCTCCCACCCAGAAACAGGTGCAGATGCCTTCAGGCAGCCCCAAAGCTCTCTCCCGGTTTCCCTTCAGGGACCCCAGGGGAGGCTCTGGAGGATGGACCCCGAGTCCCTCCACTCGGCCCCTCCAGCCCCATCCACATCCTTCTGCTATGCAGATACCCTGCAGGCTGGAACCTGAACAGACAGATTGTGGGGGAACGAGAGCATGCTGCCCGTCCCGCGGCCAGGACCTGGGACAGCACCCACTCGTCCCCTCCCCCAGGGCCGAGGCGTCCTCAGGGAGGGGTGCTGGGCCCCCAGCCCGGGTCAGGCGAGCCCAGGCAGCCCGTGGGTGCCAGGGTGCTCCACTGGGAGGCCTCATCCCTGCACAGCGCAGACTCGGGAGGGACCCCGCAGGTGCCGGCTCTGCCCCATTGTCTGTCGCTTCCCACAGCTGTGCGGGTGGGTTTCCGGCGCCGCTCTCTGGAGCGCCCGCCCGCAGGGTCAATGGTCGCCATTCCCCAGGCCTGGCCGCGGGTTGTGTGCGTTCCGGGACCCGCCACCCCTGTCCAGGACCCACTCCAGGCAGCTCGGTGCGCCTCGGGGAGCTCCAACGCGAGGCTGGGGAGGGGGCGGGATCTCGCTCGGGGACCCCGTTGAACCCTGCACCCCCGGCCCCAGGCCCAGGCCTGCGCCCACCCGGGTCCCGGACGCTGCCCAGGGAGGGTCGCGCGCGTCACGGCTGACGTCACCCGGCCGGGCCCGGGGGCGCGCCCCTCCCCCCGCCGCCCTACCTCCCGGGAGTCCCGGGCGCCGGCGGGGCGCGCGGCCCGGGCGCGCCAGGCTCAGGTGCACGAAGGTGAGCCAGGCGGCGCCGGTCAGCAGCAGCAGCAGCAGCAGCAGCTTCGCCTGCTTGCGCACCTTCTTCACCGGGAAGCGCGGCATCGCGCGCCGCTCAGGGCTGCATGCCCGGCCCGCCGGGCCCGCGCTCAGCGCCCGCGGCCCCGCATGGCCCCAGGTCCGCCGCCCGCGGCCGCCATCGCCGGCTGCCCGGGGCCGCGGGCGGGACCGAGCGGCATCCGCGCGCGGGGCTGCCCGCCGACAAGCGCGGCGCGGCCGGCGTGCCCGAGCCAGTCCCGCCCGCGGCCCCGGGAGCCAATCGGCGGCGCAGGCGGGCGGCGCGCTCCGAGGCGCCGGCCCCACGCGCGCACCCACCTGGCTGCGCGGGGCCGCGAGGACCGGGCCCGGGCACCCGTAGCAAGGGCGGTGGCGTGCGTGCGTGGGGCTGGCAGGCCAGGGCCGAGCCCCGAAACCCGGATGGATGGAGACCCTTGTCCGTGTTTCTGCATGCCACACTCCGGTCCGTGTTCTGCAGCCCATCCCGGCCCCGGGTCCAGGCCTCAGGTCGGGAAACGGGAGTGGCCAGTAGTGACCGCTGGATTTCTCGGGTGGCCTCTTTGTTTCTCCCTGCCCCCAGCAAGGGGCAGCCACGCGTGCAGCGGCTGGGAGGGCAGGCACCTGCGTTCCTCCTGCCGCGGCTTCTAACCCTAACCCTGCTGACTGCGGACGGATGCAACCTTTGCGGCAGGAACTGGAGTCGTGCTGTCTAAGCCTCCCACGCCCTGCGGGGGTCGAGGTCCTGCCTGATGTCTCTCCAGGGACTTGCTATTGTGTCCTGAGACATCTCTGCGTGGACACCCCAAGAGAGATCCGGGGTGATCCTGGAGTGTCCTGCTCTTCCGATTCTCTTCCTGACCCGGTGCTGGAGTGAGCCCCTCAGCACTCCATGGCCACACCCCTGCGGGGCAGAGCTCCAGGACAAGGGACTTGTCAGAGGCCACACCACACACCCTGTCCCCTGATGCGCGGCATGTGGCGACCACGACTGGAGGCGGCAGGTCACACAATGAAGCCGGTAGGCAAGGGGTCCCAGGCAGCTCATGGTCCTGCCAGAGGCTCTGCAAACCAGGACACTCCCGCCCCGACACTGTGTGGTGATGGAGTGTTTGGCCGGGGGTGGGCACAGCTGTGAGCCCATGGGTGGCTGTGAGGCCCCGCAGGCGTGGGAGGCCCAGCCTAGGCTGCTTTCCTCTGCTTTTCTAACCAGATGAAATTAGGGACCTGTGGTGTACATGAAGCTCCACTCCGACAGGCTCCCCAGGCAGCCCCTGGGTGCTGTAGGAACAGAGGCCAAGGCCAAATATGCAGACAGGATCCAGGACCAGCAGCCAGAGCCCACAATAGCAGGTTCCTGTCCCCAGTGACCCCGTCACTGGACATCAGTTAAACTTGCCACCGGGCAGCTGCTGGGCCACAAAGTCCACCACGCCTAGTAGCAAGCCAGATGCAGTACAGGGTGGTGGTCAAAACTTGCCAGATCCCAAAATAAAAATTATAAAACATTTATGGAAAGTATATATTTTTTTAAAATGTTGTAAAAATTGTTTGGGAGCCAATGCTGAGTTGTAGCAGGTAAAACCAGCCCCTACAGGCGCTGGTTCGTGTCCCGGCTGCTCCACTTGCCATCCAGCTCCCTGCTGTTGCACCTGGGAGGGCCGGGGAGGACAGCCCAGGTGCTCACGGTGGGAGACCCAGAAAAGTTCCTGACTCTGCCTTTGGGCTGGCTCAGCCCTGGCACTGCAGCCATTTGGGGAGTGAGACAGTGGATGGCAGAGCTCTCTCATTTTCAGGTAAATAAATATTTTTGTTTTTTAAAGATTTATTTATTTTTATTGGAAAGGCAGAGAGAAGGGACAGAGAGGAAGATCTTCTGTCCATTGATTCACTCTTCAAATGGCCGCAACAGCTGGAGCTGAGCCCATCCGAAGCCAGGAGACAGGAGCTTCTTCCGGGTCTCCCACGCGGGTGCAGGGTCCCAAGGCTTTGGGCCGTCCTCCACTGCTTTCCCAGGCCACAAGCAGGGAGCTGGATGGGAAGTGGGGCAGCTGAGACTTGAACTGGTGCCAACAGGTGGAGGATTAGCGTGCAGTGCCACAGCTGACCTCTGTCATTCTGGTTTTAGAATAAATCAATCTCTGGAAATGCATCAGTGTTGGCCCATTCATTGTGGCAGACCCTGGGAAGGCAGTGTGTTGGCACCAGGGCTGTGGTGGTGGCCACAGCCCAGCCCAGCCCCACCGTGTGGCAATCGGGGGGATAATCCAACAGGTGGAAGATCTCTCCCCCTTGTCTCTCTGTAACTCTACCTTTCAAATAAATATGTAAACTTTTTTAGTTTGTGGAAATGGAATTAGCAATATCATAGCAGTTAAAGTCCTCACCTTGAATGTGCTGGGATCCCATATAGGGGCCGGTTCTATTGCCGATGGTCCCGCTTCCCATCCAGCTACCTGTCTGTGGCCTGGGAAAGCAGTCAAGGACAGCTTAAAGCTTTGGGACCCTGAACCTGCGTGGGAGACCCAGAAGAAGCTCCTGGCTCCTGGCTTTGGATTGGCTCAGCTCCAGCCATTGGGGTCACTTGGGGAGTGAACCATCGGACTGAAGATCTTCCTCTCTGTCTCTCCTCTGTATATCTGACTTTCCAAAAAAAAAAAAAAAAAAAACCTAAAAAAATTTTTAAAAGTGGAGCAGCCAAGACTCGAACCCGTGTCCATAAGGAATGGGGTTTCTGTATTAGCCCCATGATGTTAAGATCAGTGAGGAGTGAGCTGGACCAGTAGGTGCAGCTCAGTCCACTGCACACTGGGCATGGGCGACTGCCATGTGTCCATTTTGTTTTTTCTTTGTAGACTGGCTCTCTGGCTACAGCCTGTGCATCCCATGGATCAGCCTGTGTGTGCCCCCAGATCCTGGGCATGCAAGCGTGGGCTGCAGGTGATAGGGGGTGCAGTAACAGGGGCAGGCCCAGGGGTGATGCCTGCTCCTTTTTGGGGCTCCCCACCCCCAAGGCCAAGATTTGCACTAGCGGACAGCCTAGGGGTTGGGGTTGGGAAGGAAAGCGTGTGTTCAGGCCCACCAGGGAGGATCCCGGTTTCCCATTGTTCCTAGAGCTCGGCCTGGGGCAGGGCAGTCTGGCCGGTGCAGGGTGCAGGGGGCTCCCTCCCGGGGAAACGGTCCAGGGCCCACTGGGGCTGGGTAGGTGTTCCTGGGCAGGAGCCTCACCAAGGACGTGTATTGCCAGGTTCGTTCCTGCGCTGTGTGCCTACTCCTGGCCTCACCACAGGGGTGGGGGTTCCCACTGGGTGGCTCTGTCCAGGACCCCAACCCAAGCAAGAACTGTGTTTACTGAGACCAGGGCAGGGCGGGAGGGGGAGCTGGGGACTGCAGCACCACACCCCAACTCCCAACAGTTGACTGGTAGAGCCAACCCTAGCATCTCTGGGAAAGGCCACAGTCCAGGGGTCCATCTGGCTTTCTCATGGCCAATGGAGGTCACACACTTCTCAGGGGTTCCCGGGGGCAGGGTGGGACGAGCCAGAGGAGCGAGGGTAGCGGCCCAGACTGCTTGCTTGTGAGCACAGACAGGGGTCCCCCGAATTCACCCAGCAGTAGGGTTGTTTCTTATTGGTTTAAAGGCAGAGAGGTTAGGGAGAAGTTTCTGCGTGCACATATAAGCACACCTACATTCACACACATACACACACACATACACTCCATGCACTCCCTGGGGCTGTAGATGAACAGGAAGCTGGGGTCCAGGGTCCAGGTGGGACTCCAGGCTGGGCACTGCTGTGGGGGTTGGACACAACACATGTGTGGCTATCCCCAGCCACAGCTCAGCTCTGCTGGCTCCTCCCAGGATGGCAGTGGGCTGTGCCCTCACCCAGATCTGTGGTTGCCCTGGTTCTTTGCAGGAACAAGGCCTAGGGTCCAGTAGGGCCATGGCTGAACTCACGTGTCAGGATCAGGTCCAGTGGCCGGCACTGTGGTGCAGTGTGCTAACCTACTACCTGCACTACCTGAGTCTGTGGGTGCTAGTTCAAGTTCTGGCTGCTCCACTTCCCATTCAGCTCCTTGCTTATAGCATGGTAAAGCAGTGGGAGACCCTGTTGGAGCTCCTGGCTTAAGTGTGGCCCCTTGTAGCTGTTGTGGCTATTTGGTGAGTGAACCAGGGGATGGAAGATTCTCTCCCTCTCTGTGTCATCTCTTGCTCCCTGCTGTCATGTCCTGTACCAACTGCCCTGCCTCCCAGAGCTTCACAATGGGACACAGGCCTCTGTCAGTGCCCAGCACTCCCAGCTCCGGAAACCGCAGGTGCCTGTGTACAGCAGGGTCAGCAATGCCCCACATCCCCCACAGCTGCACCTGCCTGAGGGACTGCAGCTGGGGAAGCCTCCGGAACATCTGCCCAGGCCAGGTTCTTCCAGGAAACAGGTGTATCCCCCTGGCTATTTTTACTTCTCTATTTGAGTCACAGAGAGCTGACAGAGCAAGCTTCCAATAGCTGGTGGACGTCTGTAACACCACTCCGGTCATTGCCAGGCCAGGGAGCCGCACCTGGGTCTCCCACATGGATGGAGGACCCCACACGTCCTAGGAACTCCAGGATCCCTTTACCAACAGGCCCTGTCCTTGAGCTGTCCGGCGCAGCAGCCCAGGCGGTCGACGATCTCCCAGCCTGCTGCACCCGCAGGGTCTCAGGGCCCGAGGTCTCCCCTGGTTTGTAGTAACCTGCCCTGCGCCGGCAGCGGTTCCCTGAGACCCTGCACATGTGGGGTGCATCCTCTTGCCCCGGGCTCTGAGAGAAGATGCCCAAACCTCACCCCTGCACGGGATGCTGGATGAGCAAACCTCACCCCTGCAGGCTGCGACCTGCCCCGGCTGTGCCCCTCATGGCCACTCCCTCCAGGTCTGCTCCTTAACGTGCACCAGGAGCCTCCTTCTCTCCCCGCACCCCGTCTTCTTCCACAGCTCCGTCTCCTTCCCGCACTCTCCCCAGCCGACGTCTGCGTGAGTTCAGACTGGATTCGGCAGCTCTGGGACTCCTCCCGGGCCACACTGGACCTGTGTCTCCCGGGCCGGGCCGGGCCTGACCGCCCCCGACGGACCGGCCGCCATTTCCCGGGGACAGACCCCGCCCCGTGCGTCAGCCGGGACAGACCCCGCCCCTTCCTTTCAATCCGGATGTCACTTCCCGGAAGCCCAACCTCCGGGGGTGCAGGGGGGTGCTCGGGGCCGGCCTCCAGGGGTGGTGCCTGGGCTGGCCTCCAGGGGTGCAGGGGGGTGCACGGGGCCGACCTCCAGGGGTTCAGGGGGTGCTCGGCCCCCTCCTCAGCTTCCCGTTGTGGCCCGGCACCCTGGGATGCTCTCAAGAGAACCTGGGTCCTTGCCAAATTCATAGTCTTGTCCACTGGCGGCCCTGGGGGTGGGTCGCAGAAGGGAAGCCCGGTCAGGGGACCCCCCTGGCAGCCATGATGGTCTGGGCTGGTCCCCGCTGCTCTGGAGGCCGTGGGGTGTGCATAGCTGGGTGGGGCTGAGACCTGGCATTCCACGCCAGGCTTGGCGGCCCAGGGAGAGGCCAAAAAGGGTAGGCTCAGCGCTCAGGGGTTGTACCTGGCCTGCGGGGTGGGTGCCCCAAGGAGACCACACCTTAGTCCCCAGAGGATGGGTGGACCCCAGGCCCTTGCAGCTGCAGCAACCACACCCTGATCCCCAGGGAACCAGGGCATAGGTGGACCCAGACCCTTTCCACTGCAGCTACATTGGCACACCCTTCGGGTTTGCAGGACGGGGGGTCCCAGGATTCCTTTCCTTCAATTGGGAAATGGGGTTCTCCAGGGTACCCCAAGCTGTGGAGGGATGTGGCCTGCTTCCCTGGAATCTACATTGCCCCCACTGTCAGTAGGGCTGTGTGTGCAACCTGCCCTCCCCAGCTCCAGGGCACCCTGCACCGACACCCCCACACGCCACTGAGTGCCTGGCTCTGCCAACCCCTTGCCTTGTGGGGATGGGATGTGACTGGGCAGCTCCTCCAGTTCCCTTCACACAACTGGGAGCTTCTGTAGGGAGCACCAGCGACTGTCCCCTCGTCCAGCTGAAGGAAACTGCAGGCCTCCGAGGGTGGCCCCAAGATGGGGCACGGTGGGCCACCTCTCTGCTTTCCTAGGTAGGACAGCACCTGCCCACTTTTTTTTTTCTGCCCACTGCTTTTTTAAGTGGCATTCGATTAACAATTTTCCTTCTAGTTAACTCTGCAAATGGCCACAATGGCCAGAGCTGAGCCGATCAAGAGCTCCTTCCAAGTCATGTGGGTGCAGGATCCCACGGCTTTGGACTCTCCACTGCTTTCCTAGGACTCAAGCAGGGAGCTGGACTGCAGGTGGAGCTGCTGAGAACAGAACCAGGGTCCATATGGAATGCTGGCAGAGGCTTAACTCTACCATGAGCTGGCCCTGGGAGCTGTCCTCCTGGGCCCCTCCCAACAGGCTCCCCTGAAATTCAGCTCTAGCCAGTCCCTGGCTTTCTCCTGTCCCAGCACTGTACACCCACCCCACCAGAGCCCCTCCCCCAGGGAGCTGTGTGGGGTGCACAGGCAGGAAGCCTGGCCAGCAGTCCATCCAGAGGATGCCCATCCCAGTGCCTGCCATCTGGCTCCAAGTCTTTCTCGGACCTGGCCACCAACAGGTTGCAGGGGAGTGACAACCTGGGGCTCCTCAAGGACTAGGAAAATGCTAGGTACAGGGATCCCTTTTTCGACACCACCTGGCCAGCACAGGTCAGGAACCGGGCCTGCTAGAGCGTGGGGAAGGGAGCAGAGCTGAGTTGCCTGGGATGGGCTCTCTCGGTCACACACTTAAAGCCCAGGACTGTTCCAACCGGCTGAGAGCAGGCATTCTTTCCTGGAGCCCCCAACCCCTACCCAAGATACGACTGTGCTCTAGCTGCTGCCTCCAGCAAGACCCCCGGCCCTGCCCGGCCTCCCTCTGAGCAGCAGAGCTGCTGGGTGCCACCCCCAGACACATCTCAGCACCATTGCAAACACAGGCACTTTATTGAAACGTATGGTGGACAGGTGTGGGGGCAGACACGTGTGAGAGTGGACAGGCGCTGTGGTGGATCTGCAGTAGGGCACACAGGAGTGGCAGTGGACATGCGTGAGGCTGGACAGTGCCCGGGAGGTTGGGGAGGGGCAGGGGCGGGCTGCCAGCACAGGTGTGCACTGCAGGCCTGGCGAGGCTCCTCCTCTAATGAGGAATTGCCTGGGCAATGGCTGCTATGTTGAGCACAATGATGACAATGGTCGCCACGAAGAGAAGGATGCTAGTCACCAGGGCACAGATGTTCAGGCACTTGGCGGTGGATGCGTAGGCCTGGGCTCCAACTACGTCACCCACCATCTTCCTGTCCCTTGACTGGGAGAAAAGAAGCAGGAAGGGGAACCCGGTCAGGGCAGTTGAGAGCCAAGTGCCAGCTCCTGGCCAGAACAGGCTCCACCCGCCCTAGACTTCGGCCCCGTGAGAAGTGACTGGTGTTGACCAGAAGGGAAGATTCCTGTGGCCGGAAGAGATTGAGTCCAGTCCCAGCTGACCAGGTCAGCCCATGCGGCCAGAGCCTAATCCTGCACTCAGAGGCCTTCTCAGTCCCCTCCACACACACGGAGACACACTCACACCCAAGGTCCACAGATGCCACCTGGCAGAGCCTGAAGGCCACCCACTGCCCATGACCCCGGCACCCCACACACCTTCACCGAGTAGGCATACGCCACGAAGCCCAGGCAACACCAGTTGAAGAACAGCGTGTTGAAGAGGGACCAGACCACGTGGTCGGGCACAGCGGTGTCGCTGCGAATGTTGATAACGGTGGAGGACACCGTGCCCTGGCTGGAGGGTGCCCCCAGCACGGAGATCTCATGGTCCTCCCTCAGAACCTCGTAGTTCTGGGGGTGACTGGCGCTGGAGAAGACGGTTTTCGCAGAGCTGTTCATGTTGCAGGGACTGCTGGCTGAGTGGAGTGTGCGCCCCTCCTTTCACCTCCCCTCCTGGCCCGCAGTTTCGATTTCACTTCAGTTTCTATTTCCCAGAGATCCGGGATTACGAAGAGGGAGGAGTCGTTGATAAAATCTGGCTGTTACCACAATCCGGGAAGTGGCTGGTGGGGGAGGCCAGGATGGTCTCCTCTCCCCTCCCCGCCAGTGCTTAGCAGGAGGAGCAGGGGACCTGGGCCCACCCCAGCCAGCTCACAGCCGCCCCCGCGAGCGCCTGGGGAGAACCCCAAACCCTGCCCCGGGGGAGGGTCCTTGGCTCGAGACCCCCCAAAGGAGTCATGGACCAGGCAAGGAGCCCAAAAATTGGGTGGAGAAGGGCACGGGGCGTGGCTTCCGGGAATGGGATGCGCAGCAACCAGACTCTTACCCGCGGGCTAGGGAACAGAGACCGCCACCAGCGGGCGCTCGCTACATCGCTGCACCTCAATTCTGCATTTCCAGGTCTGCGGAGCAAGACCTGGCTAGGCGGAAATGACGGACCTCACACCCTGACCCCATTTCCTTGGATTCTCCACCGTTAGGAACACCCCAAGAGGCCTAGGTCTCTGCCACGGGGTCACCCATCTCCGCCCAGGCGCGTGGCCACCCCTTGAAATTCCTCACTCTCCGTTTCTTCTCTCCGGTGCCACTTTCCTAACAAGGTCTGCTCCTCCTCTCTCCTTGTTGACACACCCCCGGTTGGGCGGCTCGGACCTTGGCGGGGCGCGCGGCTGGCGGGGCTCCGTGCTCACAGAGCTGGATTAGGGGCCTGGTTCGCGGCTGTGACGGCACGGGGTGTCCCCGGGATGGGGTGCACCAGGCGGTTACCCGACCCACCTGCGCCAAAGCCATCTTCCGGCCCGTGTACACCTGCTCTCCTTGCCCCTGGCTCCCACACAGCAGCCCAGCGGCCAGAGCTTCCGGCGTGTCTCCTGTCTTTATTTTTATTGAAAAGGCAGATTTACAGAGACAAAGTTCTTCCATCCATTGGTACCCTCCCCAAAGGGCCGCAGTGCAAGGAGTCAGATGGGCTAATGGCAGTCTCTGGTTCTCGGGGAAAATATAAAATCTTGCCCCCCTTTATTTCTGCCTCTTTTGGAAAGAGGACCCCAGGTTTCTTCTTTTCCGGAGGAATAGCGACTGGACAGCAGGAAGTGAAGTCTTCTGGCTGAGTACCGGTTTCCCCTGATTGAAGAAGGCTGAGGAAGTCTGGCTGTGTTTGCATTCCCCTCCAGACAGGGCAGAGACGGCATCCTGGAGGGTTTGGTGTGACAGAGCACAGCAAATTTGCTTCTTCAATTTTCATGTGGAAAACTCTAGATTGCAAAGCAAGATTTTCTTTTTACTTTTTTAATTGCAAAGTCAGATATATAGAGGAGAGACAGGAAGATCTTCCGTCCATTGATTCACTCCCCAAGTGGCCACAATGGCTGGCGCTGAGCTGATCCGAAGCAAGGAGCCAGGAGTTCTTCCAGGTCTCCCACGTGGGTGCAGGGTCCCAAGGCTTTGGGCTGTCCTGGACTGCTTTCCCAGGCCACAGGCAGGGAGCTGGATTAGAACCAGCGCCCATATGGAATCCCCGATCATTCAAGGCGAGGACTTTAGCCACTAGGCCACGGTGCCGGGCAGCAAAGCAAGATTTAAGAGAGAGGTTTTCTGCCATAGCGAGAGGCGGTGGCTCTACAGAAGGAACTCCCGAGGAGATGCTGTTCACCATCTCGGGGAGTGTTAGGGTTTAGACACACTCTAAGTTCTTATGCCAATTCCCACAGCCAAGTCCTCTCGTGATTAGCTTACCACAAGCCCAAATTGCAGACGCAGCAAGGTGCTTCGCAGGCCCTTCATTCCATCAGGTAGGAATGGGAGCCAGGGTGGAGGGGTAGAGAACCTGCCATGGGGGGCGAGATGGAGGAGCACGGGGAAGAGCCAGGTAAGACGGGAACGGGAAGCACATTTTTACATTTTTAAAATGATATATATTATTTTTATTGGAAAGGCAGATATACAGAGAGGAGGAGAGACAGAGAAGGAGATCTGGCTGATGGTTCACTCCCCAAATGACTGTAATGGCCAGAGCTGAGCCAATCAGAAGCCAGGAGTCAGGAGCCTCTTCTGGGTCTCCCACATGAGTACAGATTCTAAGGTTTTGGGCCATCCTGGACCACTTTCCCAGGATACAAACAGGGTGCTGGATGGGAAGCGGGGCTGCTGGAATTAGAACTGAATCCATATGGGATCCCCCTCATTCAAGGTGAGGACTTTAGCTGTTAGGCTACCGTGCTGGGCCCTACCTTTTTACATGTTGAAGGGTAACTTTACTGGTGATCAGAGACCCTAACTGCCTCTTCACATGCCCTCCCCATGCCTGGGGGTCCAACCTGTCAGGAAGTGGCCAGGTCACCTCTGCAGAACAGAGGCTTCGACCCATCTGGTGGAGCTTCTGCCCCGCCAGTTGTTTTCCTGTGGGCACTTGTGTCCGCGTTATGCTGGGAAGCTGAGGGTGTACCTTCAGTGCCCAGGGGCACTTAACTTAGGTGAGGGCAGCCTGGGAGGGGTCACCTAGGCACTAGATGAGCTGCCTACCCAGACACAGGCTGCCCATTGCCAAGGGAGACCTACCCAGAGCTACCTCCCTTCTGTGGAGCACTGGATGACACAGACCAGCAGGCAACCTTGACTCCCAGTACTGGCACGACAGGAAGTCCACAGTGGGCTCTGAATGGATTGGAAGTCCACATAGTGGCAGGCTGTGAGCTGGACAGGGAGTCCACATGGTGGCAGGCTCTGGATGGACAGGAAATCCACAGTAGGTGGGCTCTGAGCTACCTTTTGTCTAAGCCTGGCTTCCTACACGGAAAGCAGTGGATGGCCAAGCTGTGTATCCACCTGCGCCGCCTGCCTGCCTGCTGCCTCTGGACAGACCACCGCGTCCACCCTTGTGTTCTGTAGCTTTCCTTTACTGTCAGGCCACTAAGAGTAGAGAGACAGTCCTGGCCACCTCTGGCCTTTGTCCCTGCAAGTGGCGATTGTGCCTGCAGCCTACATAACGGCGGCCACTCTAAGTTGTTGGAATTCCAGTAACACTCGCATCCCCCTGCCTGCACCGTTCACTGCACCTGCTGCACCTGCAACGAAGCAGACCGAGCTATAAAACCCTCAAAAAAAAAAAAAAGAAAGAAAGAAAGAAAAAGAAAAATAAGAGCTGCTTCTTGGGCGGGGTTTCGGGCCTCTGGTTCACCTTGTGCCCAAGTGGTGTTATGAGAAATACTGGGGCAGGGGCTCAACAGGCTGGTCGTGCACTCCTAGTACCAGGATCCCATATAGGCTCTAGTTTGTGTCCTGGTGAGAGAGGAGTTAGACTGGGTAATAGGCAGTTAGGGCATTCTGGGTCCCCAAGTCATTTTTTTCTTAAATATAAAAGGGTATTTCCCCACCGCGTCTTGGATTCACCAGAGCATGTCTCTCCCAAGAGGAGTGCATATCTTATCAGGAACGCGCTTCCCCGAGATGCAAGGGCGACATTAACACAACAATTCCCCACCTGAAGCTCAGCCGGATTCTGTCTCTGGCCATTGCCAAGGGGGAGGGCTTCAGACTGGCTTCTTTACAACTAGAAAGGGACCAAGAAAGTTGGCTTGTGACACCTTTCTGGTTTTTTTTTTTTTTTTTAATGAAAATAAAGACTCTTTTTATTATTACTATATTTTTGACAATCTTTACCTAGTTAATTGGGGTAAAAAGGTTCAAGGGCTACAGGAAAGTGGGTAAGACTATTATTTCCATATTGTTTCCTTCATGTTTAAAGGGGGGTATTAAGGGAGAAGGCCCACCCAATTTCCCACCCTCCCCAGGTCCCGCATGTAGGGCATGCTCCAAGGTTCTTGCTCAAGTGGTTTTGATAGTTCACCAGTTATAAATTGCTGCCATCTTGCCACTCCAAGCACTATGAGGTCCTTGAAGAATCCACTGATTGACATAGTCCATCATAGAGCCTCCTTTTGCCCTGTATTTCGCTGCCAACATATAGCTGAGATGGTTGACTGACCTGTTCTGTCTTCTCTCTTTTCTTGGTTAAGATTCTGAGTCCAGCATTTCGATTGGGGAGATCTCCAATTAATTTTGTCTGAGGTGTTCTTGGTGGTGACACCTTTCTGGCCTTTTGTCCCAAGCCCAGGTACCATGGAAACCAGGAATTTTCTTTGTTTATGGAGAAACATCTTTGAGGGGAACCTTTAAAAGATGCTCCCCCCATTGTTAATATGGGCATTTTTCACTTGTCCTCCTGCCACTATGGCAGGGGTAAGGGTCCTTTCTATCTCAGAACCCCCTCCTGTCACCAGGATGGGACACTATGGCAGGGGTGAGGGTCCTTTCTATTTCAGAACCCCCCCCCCCCCGTCACCAGGACGGGACACTATGGCAGGGGTAAGGGTTCTTTCTCAGAGCCCCTCCTGTCACTAGGACGGGAGTCTCCTTTCTCAACTTTTCTAATAAATCTTGCTTTAAAACTAAGCTGTGTAAGCACAAAAATTCTTTCCTGCGAGACAAGAACTGAGGTTGCTGCCGTATTCAGGGTCAAAAACCCTACTAGCAGAGTCTGTGGGTGTGCAGTCCCACTGAATGTCACAGCTCCCTGGGGCAGGGCTGGGAAGGACCCCAAGCCACCCTGTGACTGTAGCTGGGAGTGTGGATAAAAACTGTGCGGAAACACAGAAGGCTGAAGAACTCTTACACATGCTTCCTCATTCAACCGCATAGTACCCCCCCGCCCTTGGCTTCCAGCACACACAGGCACATGTTTTCCAGCTTGGTGACAGGGGAACTAGATCGGACCACCAGGGAGGGCAGTGCTGCTGAACCCAGGGGAGGGTGGGCCATGTGGCCAGGTGGTCACATACCCTCCCAGGGCAGGTGGGCCATGTGGTTTGGTGGCTACACTCATCGCCTCACAGCTGTGCCCAGATCGGCCTCCGACTCCGTCTTCCATCCTGCAGATCTAGGAGGCAGTGGTAATGGCCCAAGTCCTGGGGTCCCTGCCCCCCTTGGATGTTCTGTATTGAGACCGTAGCCCGGGTTTCCACCCCAGTCTGGCCACTGAGCAGGCACCAGATGGGCTCTCCAGGCCACGGCCCTGCCCTGTGACCATGGCTCATTGTGGGGGAACTCGGCGAAGGTGCTGCAAGGGCTAGAATGCTGACATCTGCAGGAGGCTCCGGATGGAGACCCAGAACTTGTGATGCTGAGAACCTGGACTTGGGGACTTGGCCCAGCGGGGCAGTGAATGAAGGACACTACTGTATATAGTGTTCCTGGGCAGGACATGGCCGCCC